CTTCCTCATTAACGAGTTCGGGGCTGAGGAGAGCACGGCATAGCTTCAAAAACGGTACAGTCTCATATGGAAACCGCGAGCGCGCTACTAGGAAGATGTTGTTCATGAGACGTTCATCCTTAATGAAAACCACCCGTGGATCGCTGGGTGAGGCTGGCGACATCGCCAGAGGCCAAGATGAGTCTGTGGCTGGCCCGTTGAGGATAGCCAGGACAGACTCCACGATCTCCGGAGAATAATCCATGAAAATTATCATAGATCGAACGAGATCTAGCAGCGCGGTGCGTGCCCATCGGTTTGTCACCATGTCATCGACAGCCGATGTTGATCCAATTTTTTGTGCCAAGGAGACAATGGTGTCAAATACAATATTTTTGATTGCATCTGATGTGAGAAGAGTGACCGAATCATCGACAGTATACCGTGGGGTACGAGCAACTTCGAGTAGTTCTTCGTAAAGCGAAATTTCAGTCGCACGACCACTGTGTGAATGTGGCGTATTTGATTGGAAAGAATCCACGGCGCTGTGAAACTGTTCCATTTCTCGGGTCTCTTTGTCATTGAGAGCTAGCTCCCCCATTGTATACAAAATCATGCCCCATGAAAATGCAGCCGGGCTCGCAGTCTTTGACTCAATTCCCATGGTGGTGAATATTTCGTTAATCTGACCTATGTCGTCCTTTGATAGGAAATAAGGTCGCTTAGTGGACGCATCTTGGCCCTGACCCTTTTCGATAATGGCAGGAATCGAGAGAGGAAGTTTTAAAAGTGTCAGGGTGACCAGACACACAAAGCCCTGTAGTGGTAGAAGTAGTTCTATAGGGTTTTCACAGGGCTTTCAAGAGTTAGCATACTCCGCAAAGAGTGGATCAGGATAATACGCACAGCTTGAAGGGACTCGAGGAAGGCATAGTCGGCCATTAGACGGAGCCAAGACATTAACAAGTCCGCAGGGGGGATTTCCGTGGAAGTCTGAAGCTGCATAAACAAGCTTTGGAGTAGATGTGATACTTCCTCCACAAGGGTTGTTCTCCATAAGTTCTCAATATCCTCGCTGCTCTCAGCAGCACCCAGCCAACCACCATCGCCCTCGAGGGCTGAGAGCCGCGCCTTTACAGCTTTGATGAATTCTTCAGCGAAGTTATGCCAATCTCTCCCTCTGACTTTGTCGCTGAATATGGATGCACCTAATTTTCCTAAGCCAGTGGGGCTTACTCGTTGTTGTTGAGGTGTGCTATCCACATGGTCGCTATCCAAAAACAACGCTAGAAGCTTGCGGGCTGTCTTGATGATATGACCCCTTTCCGATAGATAAGTATCTTGGAGGCGTAGACGCCTTTTTTTCTCGGCGACAAATTCAGCGGTATTGTTTCCTTCGCCTGGTTTCGTGTTGAAAATCTCAGCGAAACTGGATCCTGCGAGTGACACACGGAAAGTATCTAACCCGGCCGCCCCCTTCAAGCTTATGGTTTCTTCATCAGAAAATTGGCCTAGAAGGCGCGTAGAAGGTCGTGTTTGCCATTCTAGGACCGCGATCCGAAGCGCGTTGACCTCATCGATCCCAGCTTTTTCACTCAGCCAAAGAGCATCCGCTTTGATTTCTTTCAAATCGTACGAAGTCTGCGCATTTGTCTCCGCATGTATTGCTGCTGTTTTTGTATCAAAATCCGATTTCGTCTTAGCAGATCGTGGAGGAAAGACGGTGTCGCGATTAAGAAGGAGTTGAATGCTATCTGGGTGCGACAAAAACGAGTCAAGAACTTGGGTATCATCAGGGAAGCTATCGGGATCGCAGGTGTAGAGGAAAGCTCTCTTCCAGGATCTGAGAGAATAGAAAGGTCAGCAGCTATGGATTGAGCTTGAAGCGAATGAGCTCATACAGAAGCTGAACGTCCCCGGAAAAGCACTTGTCCAGGGACGGGAAATAGGCTTCCGGAACGGGAGCCATTGGCGACACAGCTATATCATTATAGTTGGGAAAAAATCGTAGAGTGAGATGACGGAGCTCGGGAAAATCCCGTATGCTAGGAACCGCGACACAGAGCGAAAGCGCTTGAAACTGGAGCTGGACCAGAACCTGATACCGAAGGAGCACTTTTTGGGTTGGCTGGAGGTCAACAATGAATGCCTATCCGGGTTTAGCGTCCGGGCGGTGAGCACAAATTTTGTGCCGTTTGACAAAATGATCATTTTAGGAAGTCGATCGGCCTCCAGCACTAGTGGCGGCGTGCAGGAAGTGACTCAAGGACAAGCATCAGAGCAGTCGTTACACAGACGGTGTGTTGTCAAGGGAGGTGAGTGAGCAGGTTATCGCCTCCATCACTCTTTTTAACCTGCAATTTGAAATCACTCACACCATTATCCGTAAAGACCATAGCAATGGCAGACTCCGCGCTTGTTGACCACTCCCCCCACCATCCCACCAAGGCGGCACGCCTCGAGACCGCTTCGAATGTCATTCTCATTGACAATTACGACTCTTTTACCTGGAACGTTTACCAATACTTGGTCCTAGAGGGTGCGACGGTGACGGTATTTCGCAACGATGAGGTTTCACTTGATCAGTTGATTGCCAAAAAGCCCACCCAGCTGGTGGTTAGCCCTGGACCGGGCCACCCGAAGTCTGATGCTGGTATTAGCAACGCTGCGATCCAGCACTTTGGCGGAAAGATACCTATTTTTGGAGTATGCATGGGACAACAATGCATCATACACTCTTTCGGAGGCAAAGTCGACGTTACCGGGGAGATTCTGCACGGCAAGACATCCGTCTTAAAACACGACGGAAAGGGTGCCTATGAAGGTCTCCCTTCTTCGGTTGTCATTACCAGATACCACTCTTTGGCGGGGACACACTCCACCCTACCCGAGTGCTTGGAAGTGAGCTCCTTTGCCGAATTGGGTGAGGATGCCAACAAGACTGTCATCATGGGCGTGCGGCACAAGAAGTTTGCCGTGGAGGGCGTCCAATTCCACCCCGAGAGTATCTTGACAGAACATGGCCAGACCATGTTTAGAAACTTCCTTAAGCTAACCGCTGGGACCTGGGAGGGAAATGGTAAGGACATTTCTCAAGGGAGCAACTTCGCCGCCGAGGTCCCGGCCCCGACGACGAATAAGAAAGTGTCAATCCTGGAGAAGATATACGATCACCGAAAAGCAGCTGTTGCTATTCAGAAGTTAATTCCGTCTCAGCGACCTTCTGATCTTCAGGCTGCCTACGATCTCAACGTTGCTCCACCGCAGATCTCGTTTCCTGATCGACTTCGACAATCCGCATATCCTTTGTCTCTGATGGCGGAAATAAAGCGCGCTTCTCCGTCGAAGGGTATGATAGCAGAGTATGCATGCGCTCCTGCGCAAGCTCGACAATATGCCAAGGCTGGTGCTAGTGTCATCTCTGTACTTACTGAGCCTGAATGGTTCAAGGGCAGTATCGATGACCTACGTGCTGTGCGTGCAAGTCTGGAAGGATTGACTCACCGGCCTGCTATTCTGCGAAAGGAATTCGTTTTTGATGAATACCAGATCTTAGAAGCTCGCTTGGCTGGTGCTGATACTGTACTACTCATCGTGAAGATGCTTGACACCGAGCTATTGACAAGACTTTATCGCTACTCCCAAAGCCTTGGAATGGAGCCACTTGTCGAAGTTAATACGCCAGAAGAAATGAAGATAGCAGTTGATCTTGGCTCCCAGGTTATTGGCGTTAACAACAGGGACTTAACAAGCTTTGAGGTTGATCTTGGCACCACCAGCCGGCTCATGGACCAGGTGCCCGAGAGCACCATTGTCTGTGCTCTTAGTGGTATCTCCGGACCGAAAGATGTGGAAGCCTATAAAAAGGATGGCGTGAAAGCTATCCTTGTTGGAGAGGCCCTTATGCGTGCTTCGGACACTGCCGCATTCGTTGCTGAGCTTCTGGGGGGTAACTCGAAGAAGCTTTCTCTACAATCGCAACATTCTCCGCTAGTCAAGATATGTGGTACAAGGACTGAAGATGGCGCTCGCGCGGCTATTGAAGCGGGCGCAGACCTGGTGGGCATCATTCTTGTCCAAGGCCGGAAACGCACCGTGCCGGATGATGTTGCTTCACGAATTTCGAATGTGGTGAAGTCGACCCCACGGCCCACTCCCTACTCAAACGATGTGCCGCAAGGCGAAACCGACTCAAGTTCTGTTGACTATTTCGACCACTCTGCCCGCAATTTACGACACCCGACTCGAGCTTTGTTAGTGGGCGTATTTCTCAACCAGCCCTTATCATATGTCCTAGATCAACAGCAAAAGCTGGGGCTTGACATTGTACAGCTGCATGGCTCCGAACCACTCGAATGGTCTAGACTAATCCCAGTTCCCGTCATTCGCAAGTTCGGCCTTGATGATTTCGGAATCGCTCGGAGAGCATACCATACGTTGCCGTTGCTTGATTCTGGAGCAGGAGGCTCTGGGGAAATCTTAGATCAATCACACGTTAAACAGATTCTAGGCTCTGATGACGGATTGCGGGTTATTTTAGCAGGTGGCTTAGATCCAAATAACGTTACTAACATAATCCAACAGCTCGGCGAGTTAAGGCACACGGTGGTTGGTGTGGACGTCAGCTCAGGTGTCGAGTCAAATGGCGCTCAGGATCTGGATAAAATCCGCGCCTTTGTCCAAGCAGTGAAAGGTCTTTCGCAGTGATGTATAGACGTCGTCCATATCGAGAAAAATATTTCGGGTACTTCCTCTTTTACACATGGTTTACGGCTCATATTGAACTCGTTTTGCTATAACCTCGGACCTTTAATCAAATAATTCGTATTCACTCTTCCGATATCTCGTAGTTTTCTTATCTCTCAGTTACTTCCCCCATATGTTATCTAGAAACGAGTTTTCTAAGATTTACTTGAACTCCGTATCAAACCCTGGCTAACCTCGAAACTACTTCGGGGTCTTAGCTTAACCTAGCTGCTTTACGAGTCCATAAACAATTTCGCCCCTAGAGTACAATCACAATGGGTAAAACCTTCAAAAACGTTCACGCCTGCTCTGTGGGAGACTTTGAGAGCAACACCAAAAAGATCCCACAATGGATCACTGCTAACGGAGGAACATACTACAAGGATGTCACTAAGGACGTCACTCATCTGATCGCAACGAGAGAAGCCTTCAAGCAGAACAGCCCCGCTAGTAAGAAATATTCCCACTGGAAACCTAACCACTCATGGAAGAAACCCCACTGACAATGTCTTTACCATAGTCGCTGAAGCAAAGAAGCTGAAGACCGTCAAGATTGTCTCATACGATTGGTTAGCTGAGTCGCTGCTCTCCAAGCATCGTACACCTCGGTTCGTCAAAGAGTATCTATGGATTAATATCCTTAAAAATGAGAATAAAGAAACGCAGAAAAGAAACGATACATCGAAAAAGATCCGGGGGGAAGAAGAACCCATAAAACAGGCTCAGGCAGACAGAAACGAGACCCTAGGAAGCTACGCAAGAGGAAACCCAGGCCAGAAAACAAGAGGCCCAGAAGCGAAGTGTACGAAGACAATAGCGAAGTCTATCAAGAAAAAGAGAAAGAGAAGAAGCCCAGGTAAGCCCTCAGTCCCATCCAGAACTGTGCTCGGCTATTTGATATAAAGCTTTCCCCAACAATCCTCCGCAGTAGATACTGCTGGCTCTCAGTTATTTAACGCTGACTGGATGTAAGCCAAATCAACAGATCCATTTGACACTAAGTTGCGCACCCCTAAAGCTCAAACTATAGCCGGTAGGTCAGGCTCTAAACGGGGAAGTGCACCCAGGCTGAGTGGGATATATCTATAGCAAACCACCGTTTTTACGAAGCAGAAGGCGTGACATATAGTGCGACACTGGTTCGACCTTCGAACACAGCCGGTAATACTAGAGAGACCATCCAGCTAAAGGTTTGCCAGTTCAGTGCCTTATGGTTAGCACCAATATGGACAACTAATGTGGTTAACACAGGTTTTCGAGACCATTAAAGTTCCTCACACCTACGCTACACACATCAGGTTCAGTCGCCGAGGGTTATCGAAGACCGATTTTTTGGCTCCACTTGACAGCGACCTCGATGCCGCACTGGTGGCGTTTAAGGGCTTTTTCAAGGCGCGAACAGGAAAGGAATGGAATGATAGATTGGACGGGACGGCCCCTTCTCCGAAGAAAGACAAAGATGGAAAGACGCAACCGCCACATAAAGGTTGGTTTTGGTTTGACACTGGTTCTGCGGAATCGTCATTGGCAAGTTTGTTTCATGAGGGAAAGATATAACTTGAATGCCATCATGCAGCTTGTGGGGTTTCGACTATGCTTGCATTATGTCTTAACCGACTAAAATGGCACTGATTTGCGCGGTGTATATATCCCCCGTTAGACCACTTACTTGGAGGGTCATACTAAATCTCGCAGCCAATTTTATGAGATTGATGAAACATACCATAATATGGTGATTGAATTCTTGACTATGTTCCAGGTTTATATATCTTGGTGACAAGAGTATAACTAACCTTGAAATTCTTCTCTTCCTGATGGGTATACAATAGTAACCTTATGAATGCTCCCTAACACCGAATGCGCCAGCCAAAATTTTTTATCACAATTCTCAGTCGAGATTTCATCCCACAAAGCACACAACCAATCACCTAGAGGTACTCCTTCTTCCTGGCGGTTCTCGTGTATTGTGTGAGCGCCCATTCGACATCACCACTTGAGCCCTTTTCAAGAGAGCCCCCTCTGATCTCAAACAATCTCATTGTCATCCGTGGTCCGACTTCCGCTAGCTCAACATCCTTATATCCAGTCTTGACGAAAACATGGTGTCGAACTTCGATGTTATCCTCCTTATTCACAAAGCTGACAACGCGATTTCCGACTTTTCCAGACTCCCGCGGAGGGAACAAGTGTTTCAATACCTGCACCACTCGCTCACCCAACTTCGTCTTGAACCCCTCAAAGACCAGATGAGGATAGCTTTCTGATACAGTTCCACGAGCGGAGTTGGGGATATCAGCACGGAGAACGACGTTATGCAGGGAAAAGCTAGCCGTGGGGCCGTGGGGAAGATGTGAGATCGTCATAGCAGTAGGGGTACCACGGTGCTCGTGTAGAAGGATCATATCGGTGAGGCCTGAGGAATTTGCGCTCGTCACCAGATCGGGAAGAACCAAGTTTCCACGGTTCAAACGAATGGAGGTCGGAAGAAGGAGACGAATTTCTTTGGCGAATGTTCCTAAACGCACCGAAGGAGACCGAGAAGTTGTGACAATTGGCCGGGGATCGACGACTCCAGAAGTGAGGGCATACTCATCATCCAAGTCGAGGAGGTCGGACTCTTTATTCTTTTTGTCTGCAGTTGGCAGTGATTCATCGAATTTGAAATCTTCGCGAAGAGTTTTATCATTTGCAATGGAAGGATCGAGCTGTTTCCCGGTCGCTAGCGATTCCTTGAGTTGCGCTCGTTTTTCGGCGATAGAGGCATCGCGGAGCTGCAGAGCTCTCCGATAGAGGTAGTCTCGACGTTCACGGGCTTGACGACGCTAGAAATTTCAAAAAAGAACCAGTCAACATTTACCCTTACTAATTCCTGTAAAAGGTAGAGCAGCAACATACCAGCATTTTGTCTATGTGAGTGGGTGTGAAAGAACTTGAGATTCACCAGAGGCGGGCAACTTTTTTTTTGCATGCTGCAGTTTAGGTCCAAAACGCCACCCGGAGTGGGATTTGGCGGCGACCGGCCTGATAAAGCCGCAAAGCACCCTCACACAAGGCAGAGAGTGCATTCACTTATCCTGTCACCCAGGATTGCCCATCTCTCTCCTATTTGAGCTCGAGTGCTTTGGGGGGTTGGGAAAAGTCTCGGACTGACTCAGGTAATCAATCCCTTGCACCTATTGCTGTGAATTGCAGGCTAATATGTGAGCATATATAGACTCACTTCTTCTGCCCCTCTGTTGTGCCACACCAGTTTTCGTGGAAGACACACAGGGGCTATTATTCCTTTTACGAATATCAAACGAACCGATTATCTTTTGCTTTCGTCTACTACGTCGTTGATCTTGACCGACCCAGATACTGTGTGGACGATCCTTGCTAGATTCTATCTCGTGGCGGATTTCAGATTCGGAAACGTCCTGCAGTCGTCGGTATACAAATTTGCTCTTATCCGATCAGCATGTCGGCGTCCGCTGAATACCAGGCCTCTGGAATGGAGTCAGAACTGGACCGAACTGTTGGGCCCCCGCGCCGACGCAGACATGATGACGATGAAGGGCCTGATAACTCTGAGGATGATGACTTGGAAAGTACAAACAGTGGTCCCGCAGACAATGCGAAAGTTCCTGGGGCTTTGGAGGAAGAAAAAGAGCTTGCTCCGCACGCATGCGCGTAGGTATTCCTTTGCAATCTTCAATACTAGAAACGCTTCGACGTGGCGGTTGGAACCTGTAACTGACCCGCTCTATTTCATTACATACAGGTACTGCGGCATCCACAATCCTAGTAGCGTTGTGAAATGTCTAGCTTGCAGCAAATGGTTCTGCAGCGCCCGTGGCAACACCTCCTCGTCCCATATCGTTAACCATCTTGTCCGGGCTAGACATAAGGAAGTCCAGTTACATCCCGAGTCGTCCCTTGGTGATACAGTCTTGGAATGTTATAACTGTGGCACCAAAAACGTTTTTCTCCTCGGGTTTATCCCCGCTAAGTCCGATACTGTCGTCGTTCTGCTATGTCGTCAACCTTGCGCCGCTATGCCGTCTTCAAAGGATATGAATTGGGATACATCTCGTTGGCAGCCTTTGATCGAAGACCGCTCGTTCTTGACTTGGCTTGTGGCCGCACCGTCGGATCAGGAGCAACTCCGAGGTCGTCATTTGAGCCCGCAGATGATTGCGAAGCTTGAAGAAATGTGGAAAGAAAACTCACAGGCTACGGTCGCCGATTTAGAAAATGCTACCGCTGTTGACGATGAGCCCGCACCTGTCCTCCTGCGCTACGACGATGCATTCCAGTACCAAAACATTTTCGGCCCACTAGTTAAGATTGAGGCAGACTACGACCGCAAGTTGAAGGAATCGCAGTCCCAGGATGGCTTGATTGTCCGCTGGGATCTCGGTCTAAACAACAAGCATTTAGCTAGCTTTATCCTACCGAAACTCGAGCTCGGAGATGTAAAGTTGGCCGTTGGTGACGAGATGAGGTTGAAGTACACCGGCGAACTGCGACCCAAATGGGAAGGGGTTGGATACGTTATCAAAATCCCTAACAATCAGTCTGACGAGGTTACTATTGAGTTGCGGGCTAAGGGTGACCACAAATCAGTGCCCACAGAATGCACACATAACTTTACTGCCGACTATGTTTGGAAATCGACCTCCTTCGATCGTATGCAACTTGCAATGAAAACTTTCGCTATTGACGAGATGAGCGTGTCGGGTTATATCTTCCATCGTCTCCTGGGCCATGAGGTCGCAGCTGCGCCGATGAAGACGCAGATGCCGAAAAAGTTTAGCGTCCCTGGACTTCCTGAGCTCAACGGCAGCCAAATAAATGCAGTCAAGAGTGTCCTTCAACGGCCCCTGAGTCTGATTCAAGGACCTCCTGGAACTGGTAAAACTGTCACATCTGCGACAATCATTTATCACCTTGCCAAGCTCAACGGTGGCCAGGTTCTTGTATGTGCACCCTCCAACGTCGCAGTTGATCAGCTTTGCGAACGAATCCACCGAACTGGGCTCAAAACGGTCCGTGTGACCGCGAAGTCACGCGAAGATGTGGAATCGCCAGTCGGTTTCTTGTCTCTGCATGAACAAGTCCGTCTCAATGACACCAACATTGAGCTCATTAAACTCAACCAGCTCAAGGGCGAACTTGGGGAGTTATCGAGTCAAGATGAGAAGCGTCTGAAGCAACTTACCAGATCCGCTGAGCGCGAGATCCTGAACAATGCCGATGTCATTTGCTGTACATGTGTTGGTGCGGGAGATCCTCGTCTTGGAAAACTCAAGTTCCGTACTGTGTTGATCGACGAGTCAACACAATCTGCAGAACCTGAATGTATGATCCCATTGGTACTAGGATGTAAGCAGGTTGTCCTTGTTGGCGATCATCAACAACTTGGGCCCGTCATTATGAACAAGAAGGCGGCTAAAGCTGGTCTCAACCAGTCCCTGTTTGAGCGACTTGTTATTTTGGGATGCTCGCCAATCCGATTGAATGTTCAATACCGTATGCACCCATGTCTGTCTGAATTCCCCTCCAACATGTTCTATGAGGGCTCTTTGCAGAATGGTATCACTTCTTTTGATCGTCTTCGCCGAGAGGTTGATTTCCCCTGGCCTATTATTGACAACCCCATGATGTTCTGGTCGAACCTTGGTAATGAGGAAATCTCAGCTTCGGGAACATCGTATCTCAATCGTACCGAAGCCACGAATGTGGAGAAGATTGTTACTCGTTTTTTCAAGGCCGGTGTGCACCCAAAGGATATCGGTATCATCACCCCATATGAAGGCCAGCGCAGCTATATCGTCAGCTCCATGCAGGCAACTGGCACTTTCAAGAAAGAGCACTACAAAGAGATTGAGGTTGCTTCGGTGGATGCTTTCCAGGGCCGCGAGAAAGACTTTATCATTCTGTCCTGCGTACGCTCCAACGACCATCAAGGAATTGGTTTCTTGAGTGATCCTCGGCGTCTGAACGTTGCACTTACCAGAGCTAAATATGGTCTGGTGATTCTAGGAAACCCGAAGGTTTTGTCTAAGCATCCTCTTTGGAATTGTCTCCTACAACATTTCAAGGAACGGCACTGCCTTGTAGAAGGTCCGTTGTCTAACCTCCAGGAGTCCCTGATCCAATTTAGCCGTCCGAAGCAGGCGTACCGTGGACCTCAGCGATTCCAGATGGCCTACAACCACGTGTCCAATGTCACCAGTGGATATATGAATGGGCGGAATGGTCACCGCAACGATTTCCACGATACAGGCTCTGTGGTTGGTTATATACCGGATGATGTTTCCTCTGTCCACTCCTCCGCACTTGGTGGCGTGGGAATTTCTTCTGGATATCCTCCTATGTTCCAACAATTTGCAGACTCGTGGCCATCTCTCCCTGGAGCTCGTCGCGCCAATGGGAACAGAGGGAGAGGTGCGCCCAGCGTCGCTGGAGATTCCGTAGCTGCAACAGAATCCGATATTACCGGTAGCATCATCGATGGCAAGGGCCCTGAGCATGGCGGTGTTAGTCTGGCTGGATTGAGCATCAACGATATGAGCAAGCAACCTAGTCTTAGTCAGTCTGACCGACTGAAGCGTTACGTGGAATCTGGAGCACGTGAACCCTACAAGCCCGGTGTTCCCGATAATGGTAGCATTTTCGGAGGAAGCTCTGCTAGTATTCGTGTCACTCGCGGTGTACCTGGCCATATCAATGATGACGATGATGCCCGAAGTGTCTCTACGGCCTTTGCCAGCCAGGTTGGGGGCAACTATGATTGAGTGGGGTGATGTTGGCAAAATTTCCATGAATACACTGCCACCAAGGGTTGATCCCATCCTGCGGCCTGGAGGACAGCTGTTTTGGCGATCATTGGGCCATCCTGAACGGGGCTTATGTTTTACTCCCGAGCTTCCACTCAACCCGTTGATCGCCTGTTGAATGCGATGCACATCTTGGCGTACTGAGAACAAATTCGGTATCTCATCCGTATTGTCGCAACGGGGTAACTTATGGGGCATATCCTACGACAGTGTTATCTTAGTATCTATATGTCGCCACAGCCGTTTTCCTTCCATATCTTGGATGGAGACTGGTTCTTTACACCTCAGGCAACCGGACCGGAAGGGGCATCGGATCTAAATGCCTCATGCTGCGGGATTACTTTCAGCTGTCTACTCCGCCTCGAAAGACGGCGTTTAGAATTTCTTGACTCTTTCTCCCAGCTTGCGCTTGAAACCAACCGGCCCTCCCGGGGCTCCAGACCGAAGGATTTCTTCTCTTGGGCGGTAAATTGAAACAAAAAAAAAAAAAAAAAAAAAAAAAAAGAAAAGAAAGAAAGAAGGAAAGAAAAGAAAACGGAAAACGGAAAAAAAGCCGCAGTCATGACTTCAATGAGCTAAATCATTTATGCTCTATATTCTCGTTATACATGCTTTTCGAAGACTCATGGCGCCGCTACGGCATCATTGCAAGACACAGCATGGGTGAGTTTTCTCAACTGTGTAGTTGTGTATAGCTAGTCTAGCGACACCGGCAAGTCAAGCGAAGATTGCGTTGTTTCTTAGAAATTTTTTTTTAAAAAAACCAACTATTGTCCCTCGTTATTCTAATTTGCTGAGCTGCTTCGTCAGGCATCAACGTATCTCGTGGCGCCCGTTGGATCGACACTAGGGTTCCAGCCATGATCGATGTAGACAGGAAAACTCGATCTCGCCCTGCACGTTTAACAGGCCGAGAACGACACAGCCACGCATCATAGGCCGATCGTTCTTGAAACAGGTCGTCAAGCCCTTCTGCAGGCTACGTAACACTGTCGTTGACTGCAGAGCTGGAAGAGACGTGGAATTCCCCTCGAACCCGCCGTTTACTGCGCCACTCTTTCCCAGCTGGATCGTCCTAAGCTTAATCCATAGCCCTGCCACTTCGCCGTCTATTGTCTGGTCGAGATTTCAAATCCTCGACAGAAATTGAGGTGCCTGCTTGGTATTTGACCGCAGCGTCTCCCCATCAACCTCCCCAAACCGTCAATAGTTTAACTGCTCTCCGCATTTCTATCTTTAGTAGATATCCAGGTCCGAAGGGTTTCTGTGTGCCGCGTGTCTTTTGCACTTGTAGTCTACGAATACGCAGCAAGACTCTGTCGATATACTAAATCTGGCGACGATTGGCATCACCCAAGCGTTCAGGTCGAATCTAACCAGGCAATTTGGAGGCAGGTTTGCATCTATGGGTTTATGGTCAGTACATCGGTCTCGCCCCATCGCCCCTAGCGGTAATGGAGAAACCAAAACACAAGGCATCCTATCCCAGAATCAGGCTCCAATTCGATTTGATATCAAGGCGTCGATAGCATGGGGTTTGGCTTGTTTAAGGCTTGTCTTGCGCGGGTGTGTCCTGCTTTGGCCACCATAGATCGGGCGGAAAACACTCCGAAGTCGGTGAGTCCAGAACTTCGGGCACTCAAGCGCATGTCCAATACGAATGGGGCAAGTGCAGAGAAACGTCAAAGCTCGTTGATCCACTGCGCATTACGCCTGTGGATTTGGCAGATGAGCGGTGATGTTGCGATGCTGGCAAGGCTGGCAGTGCTGTGTGGCTGCGTCCACGTGACTGAGCAGTTTTATTGGCCGGTCGCTGTTGGTGCCTCACCAGATGTGGCGGGTCATGGAAGAGGTGCCTGAGGTGGGTGGCCAGCAAACTCTCGGCCAAGCTGGATGCCAAATAATTATTAGTACAAATTCTGGATGGGGTAATGAGTCACTTTGGAGCCTAATCCGGCAAATAATAGTAACAAGCGAAGGCTTCAGTGGCACTGATTCACTAACCGGCAGTGCCGCACGATTGAATACAAATACAATCACAGCTGCTGGTTTTCACTGTTGGAGGACACCGCATATCGCCTCATCTTCCGTCGTTTCCGGATAATTATTGTTGAGAGAAGGTGGCGCCAACCCTGCTTAGTCACTCGCCACTGACATCCAGTGGTTGCCTTGTTACCTGAAAATTTCGGCACCCTTTTCACCTGCAACTCCTCAGGCATTAGCTCGTTTACCACCGACTCCGAGTATAAGCCTAACAACGCGTTTCGCCATCGATTTTCTTCTCGCTCGGCGCTGCTCACCCAACCTCAAAACCCTTCCTCCTTATATTCCCGCGTTTCTTTTGGTCGTCTCGCGACTCATTTACACTGGAGCAATACCTCGCGCCTCCCCAGCTCAATCATCGGCGGGGTTCTAATACTAGCAATTACGATATGGGCGACGGTTCTGATTATCCTAGCCCAAGAAGTGAAGGTGCTAGTGGTCCAGCAGCCGTGCTCGTCGCTACGCAGGATCCTCTCGCTGCTGTTCCAAAGATGAACGATCAAATTTCTCCCAGTTTCATGGAAGGGGCTCGTCCGCGACTGTCGGTGAGACGAGCGCGCGATCCGCCCAAGAACGCTGTCGGCCAGATTTTCTGCGACCATGCAGAATGCCAGCCGAGTCCCCCGACATTTCGCCGTCCTTGTGAATGGAAGTAAGTACATATTTTTTTTTTTTTTTTTTTTTTTTTTTTTGATTCAAGCCATTGTTGCGATAGATGGAGTTAACGCGATCCTTTCTTTTAGTAAACACATGGACAAACACGACCGGCCTTATAAGTGTTTGGAACCTGGATGCGACAAAATTCAAGGTTTCACATACTCTGGTGGCCTACTGAGGCATCAGCGCGAAGTGCATAAGAAGAACGTCAACGCCAAGAAACCTCTTATGTGCCCTTATCCTGACTGCAACCGCAGCACTGGTAATGGGTTTACGCGTCAAGAGAACCTGAAAGAGCACCTTCGACGGCGCCATATGCATTCCGAGAACGGCCACGCGCCGGAACTCGCGATCGTTCCATCACCTGATCTCGATGGTGCCACCTCTCTACAAGCTGTGAAGCGGAAGCGAGATTCGCTCGACGAGGACGCCACTGATCCGGCTATCACTTTTCCAGAGGATGAAGAGAATGGCGTGGACATGCAGGGCGAACTCAAACGACTGCGACGCGAAGTCCAAGAGAAAGATCGTCGGCTACAAGAGCTGGAGCGCATTGTAGCTGGCCTGCAACAGGTCATCCCACAGCCGCAAGCTACCGTCTCCCAGGGGTAATAAGTATTGATCAATTTGAGCATATGGTGCTGTTCACGGTGCTTTCATCTCCGCCCACCTCTTAACGTTTTTGTTTTTTGTTCAATCCCTTCGTTTTACCTCTATCGCGTTTGCATTGCAAAGGCGTTGCTGCTCTTCATAATACAATATACGCAACTCACGGTTTTCAACGTCAATGGGAGGGTTTTCATGGAATTGGTCTGCATCTCAAGAACGCGTGGACCCACACACGGCACAGCTATGAGGAATATGGCGTTTTCTCGAGGTCGATCTTATACAGACCAGGTGGTGTTCTTCTCTTTCTCTCTCTAGTATTCCCTGAAATATACCCGGGCGTTTATCAACTCACCCAATCTTCCTTTACGTCTGTGACATGCTCATGTACTGTTATTCTGTTCTTGTTTTTACTCCAATGTTCCAGTCAGAAATGACATTCAAATAATGGTTTCAGTTTGTGCTAGTGTAACCGGTGCTTTTACAATTCTTTGTTCAGATCTTATTGTATTTCGGTCATAATAATATTATGTAGGCTTTTGGCGTGATTTGAGAGGAAGTAAACATCCCATCTCGTAAATTTGTACCTGCAAGGTTGTGTTTGGGTCTGCTGCTTGGCTGACTCCACGTGAACTTCACGAGCACAGGCGTTTCTTAGCGCGGCTCAGGAAGCCCTAGGTAGCGATCCTGTATCAGACAATGCCTGCCTAAACTTAACTTGACTCGTACCAGATTCCAACCAGATGACGGTCATAGCTAAATCGCACTGTCAGGTTCAATATAATAGACCCGCTTTAGTAGTCTTGGCCATTCTTGTTCCTATAATCAAGGCATTACGCTAGAATGGCCTTAAGCGCCTAACCCCTTTGATACCTACCGTGAGGCTGATGACTACCTAATCGTCCGACCGATTTTCGTTTCGCAGTGCCGCTGGGTTTGGAAATCATCCCCTCTGATTCGATGGTACGAGGACGTTAGCCTCTTAGGATGTATTGTGTGATTGACCAAGCAGACCATGCCGTGGCCTGTTCTGCTGTCTTTGAGTCATCGTGGGGCCAAACTCGTCAACGTGGTACGATTCATAATCAAACCCCGGATGTTGTCGGATACGTAGAGCCTGTTTTACCCAGATGACCTCCAATATCGGAAAAGCGATATGCTTGAGTCCTGGGGTCGGTGGACTCGCTGCAGCCCGGCCTATAAGACGAGCATCATTGGGGTTGGACTCGGTTCCAGGATCTGGAGCCAGTATGATGAGTAGCGGATAGTGAACTCGTCCACATGGAGACACCATTCACACACGGAGCTGACAGATGACTCACAGCGGGTTGAGTCTTGGGGTCGAGTCGACACGCGTGAAGATAATCGCGGAGTTGATTCGAACGAGAGTACACGATGTGACTCCCCTCGGGGTACGTATTATGAGTGTGTGATTAGGAATGACTGATTTTGATGATGAAGAGGGCTGTGCGCCTTGTCTTGTGTGGGCGTATCAGCACCCTAAGCATGAGTCAGAGGCAGACTCACTCGGAAAGATATGAGACCCGCTACCGGTAACGAACACGAGACCCTATAGAGAATGTCAACGACTAGAAGTAGATTGTGCGAGTTGGATTCTTGATTTTGGAGTTGATATTTCTGGATGACAACGTTATACGTGACGGCGTTGTTTTTGACTCTCCCTAGTCATCAGTCCAGAGCCCATGAACCAGCTACCAGGGCTCTGGGTTTGTGGAATTTTTATCATTCTTTTATTATAGGTGCAGTCAGATAGCTTTTGGGCTCAACCATAGCCGTGGAATAAAGTCCGATAGTTATCCAGCAAAGGTCAGGTTCCTTTGTAGACAAAAGACATAGACTGTGAGTTCACTGGAATAATGACGTAAAGGAATATATTGTGGTCGGCGAAGCTTTGGGAAATAGTATGTCAATGTTTTTGCTGCGAAGTAAGAATCGTTCGGGGAGAAGTGATGGTTTCCACTCATTAAAAAGAAAAGTGGGCGTCAGGTGATCCCCTCCCTCCGCACACAACTAGAGGACAGCCGCACCTCAGCTTCAACGTTACTTAGATACAGATACCGATACACCTGGCTCGCTCACCATCCGACCCATGATTGACATCAGAGCGCTTGACCATTGAGAACCCGCCTCTCTTTCAACACACAATCTCTTTGATCCCCGTGAGCAAAAGAAACATGTCCCGCAACGCCCAAGTCGAAGAAGTGTCCGACTCGGACCCCGAAGAAGTTGCTCCTTCTTTGGTCTCTAGCAGCGCCAATGAGTCAATTCTCCCCGGAAACTCCGTTCCTTCGTCATCGATGCCTACAAGATCCGCGCCTGAGCCTCAGCGAGAAATTCCCAAATCGTACCAATGTCTCTACCCGATATATTTCGACAAGTCGCGATCTCGCGCAGAAGGCCGGAAAGTTGGCGCTGAGCTTGCCGTGGAAAACCCGCTAGCAAGAGACATTGTCGATGCTGTACAGATGCTAGGATTGCGAGTTGGATTCGAGCCGGAGAAATTGCACCCCAAGGACTGGGCGAATCCGGGGCGTGTGCGCGTGCAGTTGAAAAATGAAAGCGGGGGACCGATCAACTCGCAAGTAAAGAATAGTACGTTTATCCTTTCACATAATACTGCCTGATTCATTTCAATATTTACGGTGCTTTACGCGAGTGACAGATTGCTGACAGCGAACAGAGCATCACCTCTACATTCTAGTTGCACAATACCTCAAAGCCCACCCAACTACGGACCAGTCACCTTACCGCTTGCGTATTCGAGGGCTCCCAATGCCTGAAAAACTACCCGATGCACCTGCAGCTCCTCGTGGTTGGAAGATTGGCAAGATCCTCCCGATACACTCCCCCGCATACAGCGGTGGCGGGGTTAGCGATAATCCTTTGAAGGACGCTATGGCCGAGATGCAAAATATGGGGGGAATGCCCGGTATGCCGCAAATTCCTGGAATGCCCAACATGGCCGGCATGATGGGCGGCGAGCCATCGGGCGGTGGCGAAAAGAAGAAGAAGGAGAAGAAGAAGGGCAAAGCATGAGTGGGCTGTTCGACCATTGCTTTTTCCTATCGGCTAGCGCGTGAGCGCATATGTATGGTTTACATTGGCATTGGCATTGGCGAAAGGCGTTCTGTTCTGGTCTTTTGTTTCGTAGAGGCATACCCGCGTGTGTTCAATCTTGATACCATCAGCCGCGTGCAAATCAATTGGCAATTATCGACTCGTCGGTAGTCGCTATCCTCCAGTGCTCTCTCCAAGTCCATGTAGTCGTAATAATATAACTATCATTTTTGCTTTGTATTCGCAATCCACAAGTTCTAAGACGTCAACCCTCGTGATGCTTAGCGGACAACTGAACTGTGGTGGATCTCATTGGCCGAGGGCTGGCTGAGCGTGAATGCGGGCGTTCTCCATAGTTTCCAACTTAATTGATCTGCTCCTCGCCTCCCCCTCGCCCCGGCTCCTCGAAGGTCTAGAATATGCTCCGGTAATGCGGTATTGGCTGTTATCGCATTCACTCTTTGATGCTTGTATGAGTCAACACCTTTATTGCTAGCGTGCCGCTCCACATGGCCTTAGATACACCAGTTTATCGATGAATCGGAGAACGAACTCCCCCGCCAGTGCGATCAAGAACAGATCATGAACCCCAGTCCGCCCGCCAACCCTCCCTCAGATGGGTTTCCAAATGTCCCAATCCGCTTCGCTTACGATCCTACCTCCGAACCCGCCTCTACTCCGCCCAGCGGTCCCAACTCCATCGGTAAAAAGGGACCCCGCCGCCAGATCACACGGAACCGCACCAGTTATAGCTGTCATACGTGTCGGAAGAGAAAAGTGAGATGCGATAAGGTGCACCCTATCTGTGGAAACTGCGTGAAGAATAAGACCGAGTGCATATACGACCCGTCATCGCAGCAGCAGGATGGTGACCGCGACAAAGACGGAGGACATGGCGTGAAGCGGAGAAGGGAGAACTCGAGGCATCTCGGGGATGATATTGAGGATCTGCAATCAATTTATGGTCGCCTTAGACAGGCTGGTCCATCTGAGCAGAAATCCATTGAGTCGCGGTTGGATAAACTCACGTCAATGATAGAGAGGCTTAGCAAGACGTCGCACCCTCTGGACCCCGCCGAACAACAGTTTTTGGCGCAACAGAATTCGGCCCAGAGTGTGGCCGAGGCCATACCCAAAGCAGAGCCGGACACGTCCAATGGATATTCCACTCCGGATAGCCCTCGTCGTACAGCTGAATCGAGTGGTGATGAGTTCCCTATACCGGCTGGTCATGCTACCGACCTGGTAGACCCGGTGGGAACCCTGAATTTGGGGCACCTCAGCCTAGAAGATGGGAGGTCACGGTACGGCTTCCCCGTTGAATCCATATTGCTCATCTAACCTGTTGGTAGTTATGTTGGCACAACCTTTTGGGCTTATATTTCTCACGAGGTAAACTTTTGAGGTTCCATATTCAAGTATAAAAAGCTAATGTCAGTAGATCAACGAGCTTAACCAATTTCTTCGGGACCAAACTCACTCACATGATACTTCTGGAACGAACGACAGCTACATTGAAGAAACTGTAGAAAATGTGCCAACTCGCCATTGGTTACCGTCTGTTGACGATTCTAGCGTTACCGCTGGCGAGAGACCGGCGACGAGAGATGCGTTCCAAAGGTCTATTTTGTTTCCATCCAATGGTTCGCCATCTGTGAAGGACAAAATGGTTGAGCCAGATATGCTTGACTATATTCCTACGAAACGGCAGAGTCACATTCTATACAAAGGCTTCATGTCCGGAATCCAAGCTATCAGTCCCGTGGTTCACCCACCAACTGTTTTAAGTCATTACAACGCCTTCTGGGATTGGTATGATTCCAGCAGCTATTCTGGGGAGTCATGCCCCGACCCATCATTTATCCCCTTACTGTACGCCATTTGGTATGGTGGAACAGTCACAATATCCCTGAGGGCAATTAAGGCCGAATTCAATGGTGCCTCGCGCTCCGCCCTTTCAAAGGCATACAACGATCAGGTTACGCGCTGGTTGACAAAAACTTCGTTTTTGCGTAGTCCTTCGCTACAAGGTCTAGCCGCGTATCTCCTCGTGCAAACTATACTTGCGAAAGAGGAGGAACCGCTGACTAGTAGCTTGTTTGTCAGCCTCGCAATGCGAGTTGCTCAAACGATGGGCCTTCATCGCGACCCCGCAAACTTTGGAATTGGCGCTTCCCAGGCGGAATGTCGCCGACGAATGTGGTGGCATATTGTCCACATGGATGGTGTCGTCTCAATGTCCAGCGGGCTTCCTCCTTTGGTGAATGATGAGGATTTCTGGGATGTACGAGAGACGAGTGAAGTTAAAGATACACTTCTAGGGACACCTGAAGCTGAACAATACGAAAGGATGATACAAGCTGGTTTACGGCCTCGGGATAACCCTGATGATCCTACGGTCTGTGGTGGTCCATCTACGGTGAATGTATACTACTTGTGTGCTAGAGGCAAATATGTGATGGCTCGTAAGCACATACTTATCTCCGCACGGTTTTTGATCACAAGCTGAATGCTTTTTTTAGGCGCCGTTCGTCGAATAATGAGGATCCAACTTGGAACCAAACCGCTAACGCGGCGACATATGGAAGAATTGAGAACCATACTTGTCGATCTCCAAGTGCAACTTAACTCAATCGTCGAGCGCATTCCAGAGACTACGCAGATTGATATTTCTTCAAACGCTTCCAACAGATCTTGGTCCTTCTCACGTTCACCAACTGAAGCTTTGAGTGTTGATTTAACGCTCCCGGGAGATGCGGCACCTACCTGCGTAGAGCAATATCATACGCCAGTTCTGGCATCCTTCCACAAATGGGCACGGATTATTCTTAGGCTTTATGCTGACAAGGTAAGAAATGTCATTGCAGCAACGACCGAGCAACTTATAACTTGAATCCTAGGCATTCTGTGTTGCATATCAACCTTTTCTCAAGAACGCGAGAAGTCGGATCTGGCCCGCTGCAAGACAAAGGTTTGTGCGGTTTCTCATCGTATATTCTACAGACTAACTAGTATAGTGCACTTCGTCACTGCCACGGGTTCATGGAGAAATTCATCTCCCTTGCTACCGACCCTGATTTCCAGCCTTTTCAGTGGAGTTGGCCTGGGAACCACCAGCCAATGCATGCAACCATGATCATGCTTATCGATCTATATGAACGGCCTTATAGTCCAGAAGCCCCCAAATCCCGGGCATTTATAGATAAGATATTCTCTCTTACTGGACCGGATGGAGGTGTTGTAGGGGGCGAGGATGGTATCTCAACCCAACGACCATTGAAAGATGGTGGTCGTGAGGCGTGGGATATGATTCGCCGACTGCGTCAACAAGCGTGGCAAAAAGCCGGACTTGATCCGCAGAAGCTATGGACTGAGCAGGCTCAGATTCAGGCCGGTGTAGCTGTGCCGGACGAATGCGTCGTTACCAACCCCTACTACTCCGGTTTCTCGGCGTATCTACAACCGATACAAACTCGCGAGCAGCTCTTGGATTTCTCAAAGATGTTTTATAACATGACACGCTCCCAGGCACTTCCGAGTATTGCCGCTACTCTTGGTGAAGCTGGCACCATTCCACGGCCGAGTCCCTTACGCTACGAAATGTCCTCAAATGTTGCTCCAGCTAGAACATTACCGCACCCTCAAACCCTACACTCCCCTCCAACAATCTCGCAGTCTCCCACAGATCAACCTTCTACTACAAATAATACAGTAACCTCATCGACCATCCCCTCGAACCCAACTATGACCTCTCTAAACCACACTGCCGCCCTCACCCCTCCTACTATACCATTTCCCCAGTCACCTTCCATGCCTGCGCCGCAACCAGTGCCAGAATCAACACAAACGCCTGCGCCTCTTTCATTCCTAGATGCACTCTCACCATCGGCACACCCTCTCACACTAAACGTCCCGACCCCGCCATCAATGGTAGACCCGAACCTGAATTTCGACTGGGATCAATGGGATGCCGTATTTGGTCAGCATCTCCCTGTTTCAGACGAGCTAATGGAGCTTGATCCAGTTACTGGATTTGAATTTGGCGATCTCGGCGCAGCCGAACGGGCAAGTCGAGCAGGGAGCTTGAATGTGGGTGACTCTGAGACGAGGATGACTGGCCTTGATACCACCATGCGGGGCCCTGAGTGGAATGGTTATTGCTGAAGCACTTAACTTGGGGTTAATGGGATCAATTTACGCATATTTTTTCTATTGATTTGTTTTTTTTCTTCTTCTTTTTTCTGGGATGAATGGACTTTTTATGAGCGACTGATGAGGTTTTGGTATAGATACCATTTTTAGTTATTTTTTTCATTGTATTTATTATTTGAAAGTTTCCATATACTTGGCAAGGATATGGCTTCCCGAAGTTTTTATCATGATATTAGTTTTATGGGCCAATTAGGGGACCTGGATAAATGCTAAATAATTGACTATAAGGATGATGTGGTAATTTATGGTTGTCTGGCGAGGAAAGATATGGGTGGGCGTAACAGGTATGGAATTCATGAGGCGTGACTCTGATCAAATAGGATCCAGAATATGCGATATGGAAGAGCTTAGGATATTATATGAAAACGAGATAGCAATCAGCATAGGGGATTGCATTCTCCATCTCCCTTATTTTATTTCCTTCGTTGAACAATATTCTTCATGAAATCGTAATGCTTTAGACCTTCATCTCCTCGAGACCGTGCTTCCAGAGAGTGGCGTAGGGGGTGACACCGTCCTCACGGAAGTCAATCAGGACGTGCCTAGAACGAGTGTTAGTTACGAGATCTACCAATTGAAAATCAGATATTATAATACATACATAGCATCACCGTCCATGGCCTGGCCCATAAGAACATCGTAGTTGTCGTAGTTAGCGAGGATCTTCTTGACAGCGGCGGGCGCGCCCTTCTTGAACTCGTCGATGGTCTCAGCGGGGGCGCCCTTCTCGGTGAGAGCGTTGAGGACCTTCTTCATGTAGGCTGTAGTTGGAGAGCAAACGATTAGTTTTGCGTCATGCGTCATGAAGGAGACAAACTATAAAAGAAACATACTCTTAAGGTGACCCTTGAAGGCATCCTTGGAAGGCTTGAGACCTTCCTCGGGCTTGAGCCAGACGAGGCGGAACTGGTCCTCAATGTCGTGGACCATCACCTCACCACCTTCACCACCTTCCTCGCCGCCATCCTCAGCGGAGGGGTTGGCACCCTCGAGCTCGAAGTCCTCGTTGGTCTTCTTGAGGTACTTCTTGCAGTCGCACTCGTAGAAGACGCCGTCGACGGTCTTGATGTTGTAGGTGTCGGCGAGAACCTCGTCACCAGAGATGATGTCCTAATGCGACCAGCCATGTTAGATTTCTCAGTGTGAAATTGGTATTGTCTGGGATTGAGCTGATTGGTGATCATTGGGGATTGGTTTTCTTTCTTTCTTTCTTTCTTTCCTTTTTTTTTTTTTTTTTTTTTTGCGCAGGCTAGGATTGTCAAGTGGGGTAAAGACGGGTATAGGGTTGAATAGCAGACGCATTTAAGACGAACCTTGTAAATAATCATTTTGAAGGAGGGTAGAGTAATATCCTACAAGAGAAGGGGAAACGAAGAGGAAGGAATAAAGAGGGATAGATGATGGATTGGCACAAGGCTGGAGAAGAGAAAGAGAGAGGATGAATGGGAGGGGAAAAATCGAGGTTTATTATTTAGCGGGTTTGGTGGGGTTTTTTTCCAGTCTTTTTTGCTCTTGGGGGGTTTTCTGAGGGGGGCAAACCAGGCTAGGCTGTTTTGGGGTTGGTTCTGGACTCAGGCACGAAGCAGGTCGCAAACAGCAAACATGTGTTTGGGCCATGGCAGCGGCCAACATAAATTTCAGGGGCCCTCTCTCGCTGTTGTCTGATGCTAGACAGCGCCTGCCACTGCTCCAAACAGATCTTAAGATGCGAGGATAAGGCTGCTGATCAGGAGGTGAATCTGACCATACCATACCGGCTGTGCCCATAAGACAGCGATAGCCTGGGCGTAATTTACGATACGGAAACGGGCGGCCTCGATTGATCAGATACGGTAAGCAGAACTCCCCCGTGGTGCCACTCCAAGTCAGACTCCGAGTCGGTCTTGACTTTTCTGTTCCTTTTCCCATCTTTTCCTCTTGACTTCAGCCACTCCTACTGTCCACGCTCCTTTTCAACCTCCATCCTTATTTCCTTTTTCTCCCCACCCCGTATTCCCGGTGCTCTCAGCATCTGCCGCAACCTCATACCTAATTGCCTCAACCGTTCGATTCCGGTCTCCGCTTACTCCCGCAATCCCCTGATTGTGGTAGCCGCACGCATCCCGATTGCTGCCAGCTCGCTTATCCTAGAATCTATAAATCACCTTCTCTCCTTCAAGTCGCAAGACCGCCTTCTTCTTCTTCTTCTCGGTTGCTTTATATTCATACAAGTTTCTCCCACATTTGCGTCGTCGTACGGTTTTGTTACTCGCGGAGTATATTGTCAAACTTATGGGACCGATGCCCTCAACCTCGTCATTAGCCACACTTTTCTAATCGCGCATTTTTTTTCACCTTGCACAATTTGCATTTCCACAATGGCTATGAACAGCACTTTGGTCTCTGACCTCCCGCCTCTTCCGCCCTATAACCTGGTTCCGCGCCCTCCGCTCGTTGCTGGGATTCCGGATAACATCCTCGCCCTGATTCTTCCGATTGTTGCCTACTGGGTACTGTCTATGTTTTTCCACCTAATCGATATCTACGATATATTCCCACAATATCGCCTCCATACTCCGGCTGAGGTTTCAACCAGAAACCGCGTATCTCGATGGGATGTTGTGAGGGATGTCGTTTTGCAGCAGGTAGTTCAAACGATCGCCGGTCTTATCATGGCATACTTTGACGAGCTGGAGTACATCGGAAGGGAGGAACACGATGTTGCTGTCTGGGCTCGCCGAATTCGGTTTGTACAGAAAGGGCTGCCTTTCTTGCTCACGGCCGTTGGTCTAGATGCTTCCGGTGTTGCCGCAAACTTGTCTCATAATGGACACAAAATGTTGGCTGGAGCTATCGCCGGTGGGCGTTACCCCAATATCACTCAATCGATTGTTTCAGAAAGCGGCATTGAGACCATTGTGCCTGCTTTCACTCCATGGGAAATGTCCCTAGCAAGCTTCATCTACTGGTTCCTTATTCCCGGTATGCAGTTCACCTGGGCTATTTGTGTGGTGGACACATGGCAGTACTTCCTTCACCGTGCAATGCATCTGAATCGCTGGCTTTATGGTAAGAAATAGAAATGTGTTTCTCTGTGAGTTTGATACTAACACCTTGTTAGTTAAATTTCATTCGCGCCACCACCGTCTATACGTCCCGTATGCATATGGAGCTCTTTATAATCACCCTGTCGAAGGATTCCTTTTGGACACTGTCGGAGCTGGTATCGGCTTCTTGACGTCAGGAATGACCCACCGCCAGAGCATGTGGTTTTTCACCTTCTCTACTATCAAGACCGTCGATGACCACTGTGGTTATGCATTCCCCTGGGATCCGCTTCAGCACGCCACCTCCAACAACGCTGCCTACCATGATATCCACCACCAAAGCTGGGGTATCAAGTCTAACTTTTCTCAGCCATTCTTCATCTTCTGGGATCGACTCTTCAACACCCAATGGAAGGGCGAGGTTAAGCTTCGTTATGAACGATCCCGAGAGGCCGCTGAAAAACAAGTCGGTGCAGGATCACAACAAGAATCAGACGCGGACAACAGCGCATCTGATTTTGCACAAGCCAGCCGTGATGCCGCAGTTGTGTCCCCAGGGGAGTCTAGCGACAAGAATGCGCGAACCCGTTTGCGCAAGAAAACAGCGAGCCTGTCACCGAGTGTTGATTCGCTGAAGGGAGTTAATCACGGCGTAACTAGCAGTGTTCTATAAGCTGGATATGGGACTACTCGCAATCTGTACTATCATTTCGCAATTCGTCCTTTCATTTGACCCCACTGTTGCATATCTTGGAGTTGCAGGTCGTCTCCTAGGCACAGTGGGTGTTTTATTTTCCTTGGGTTTACACCGAATACTCTGTATTAATAATTTTGGCGTTACGGCTGCCTAATGCTTTGTACAATGATGTCTAATTAACTTGTTGTGAAGTGTTCATAATTAGTGGAAGTGGACGGAAGGTGTTGCATATGAGAATCATGATTCATTTATTTTAATTATACTTCAGACTCCCGTTTATGTTTTTACTATCAATCATAATTTGGTGGCCAGACAAAAAAGATCTTTTAAGGATAGGAAAATCATTTATCAAATGAAATGCAATGGCGTTTCGCTTTCTGGTCTTGACCCCATGCTCGTGACGCCGTGCGCGCTCTCGCCCTACCTTGAACTTCTCAAATAGCCATCTTCAACACGACGGTGTATCGCGTCTTGTTGCAATTTGGCCAGGCTTGCCCACAAACATGCCCTACTTCGCTTCCTTGGGCTTCCTACTCTTTCGATCTTCACCCGCTCCTTCCTCGCTGTTGCCATCGTAGTCGAAGCTAGTTTGTTCTGCTTTGGATGATGGGTAGTTTATTCCTGTACAGACCGCCTCCGAGGGGGATTTACTATAGCAATGGGGGTTTCCAAGGTCTATATCAGGCTCGAGATAGACTTCCGCTGTGTTCTGGTACGAACCGTGGGGTGAAACTTTAGCATGCCCTTGGGATGGGGGATGCGTGCTCTCAGCCCGAGACCCGTTCCCGACGAGCATGTTTCCGATCTGACTCATGAGATGCTCGTTAGTAGGGCTATCTGGAAGACCTGTATCATCGACCATGCTAGTGTTATACGGGTAGCCCTCACAGTCAGATTGCGTGGAAGGTGGTGGGTGAGAGGGGCTGATACTTGGTGGTTGGTATTGTTGGTTTACAGGCGCAGCTGGATCTTCGAGAGCTGGAAGCAAAGCAGCAGCAGCCCGCTTCCAGCCTGGGGAGAGACTTTTGTAGGCGTTGAGGATGTCATTGACGAGTTGGTCTTGCCTTTTTTCTTCCTCGTCCTCTTCCACATCCACGTACCTGGTTTCTGGATGTAGCGGCGAAACTGTTTCCGGATGCATGCAGACATGGACTGTTTCAACGCTTGGCCGGCGTTCTGGAGTGGGATGATCAAGATATGGACGTTCATACAGTCTCTCGGCAGGTGCAGGACAGCACAGATGACGGGCAACGCATTTAGTACGATCACAGACGCGCGCATGCGATCGCTTATTGCGCGCTGCATCCTTCCGGGCCTGCTTCAGGCCTTTGGAGACTCCCAAGACATAATCGTCAAGCATCTCAAGTGGACCTCCATACCGGCTATTCAGAGCTTCCTGGATAACACGGGAAAGTTTTGGAGGAGCTCGAGCAGAGCATCGCTCTCGCATTCGACTCCGAAGCGCTACACCGAGGTTTCGCAGGTATTCCGGATTAGAAACGACACGCGCAGTCATACATGCTTCACACTTGTTCTGTTGGCGTGGGACAGCCCCACTTGGGGGAGTTTGATCTGAAATGGGGTCCCACCACATACCACGAAGCGATCGTAGACATTGAACTGTCTCCTTAAGAGGAGGAAGTAGATCTCCCGAGTACCACATAGTAACGAGGTCTAGGTGGTCTTCGACTTCCCGTTTGATCAATCGAAAGATATGGCTGATTATGTACGGGTTTAGGCGTCTGTGCGTGGCACATAGAGTTCCGGCGAGGATGAAGGCGCAGGGCAGAGAACGGACTGAGCACCTTTTGTGAAGCCCGGAAGGTAGTGTCCTAATGGCATCCTGGATTTGAATGTGAGTGTCTTTTGTGTAGTACGGGTAGGCGTCTAGCTCAGGCTCTGCCTCTAAAACTTTTATGAGCGATTGTAATTCGGCCCTGCTGAGGTCGAGCACCCCTAGTGGATACCTCTGCCTTGTTGGAGGGGGCAGAGAGTTGCGGCTGGTCATGTTGGATTGTTCTTCTCGTATTGCTTCCTTTTGCTGTATCTCGCGGGGGGTTGCAGGGAGTAGTTTAAGAGGAAAAGAGACGAGCGCCGTTGCGCGGGAGGGGGACTCCGGTTATAATTGACCAAGCTCATTATCTCGTTTTGCTTGCTTGATTCCTTAGACCAAGTGAAATTAATGTGCAAAAAGTTATTGTATTAGCTTCTTTGTGACCAATATGTCGTTCCGTTCCTTGACGGGGAGCCATGTGAAAGAAGGGCATAAAGAAAGCGCCGAATGCTGCCGTCTTTCATTGTCCCTCCAAGTCCAAGATTGTGTTTCATAGCTTTAAGAGATGGCATTGATGGAAACAGAGGTGGATGCAGGGGATCCCGGTGTTGAGGAGAAGAAGGGAGAGAGAGAGAGTGTGTGTGTGTCTTTGTGCGAGCGTGGAAGGCGCTGTTGGCCGAACAAACAGAAATGATCGCATCACGCGAGATCAACCAGATCAACCCCCAACTCCAAACTTGTTTCTCAACCCACTTCTCTCCATCTCTCGATCCCTTGTCTCATTCTTACCTTTTTGTGTTATTGGTTGCTTCCTGTTAGACCGTCCCATCGCCCACTATGAGCGTGACATTTCTCCTCTCCAAATCGACGGTATCAGAAACGCCGCTGCCTTATACGGCATCGCCATCGAGGCTGATGTGGGAGGACATTCGCCTCGTCTTCCGACGCGCATGGTCTTTGCCGGGTATCATTCTGCCTCTGACCCCTTGCAACTCCGGTGATTTGGATGAGCTATACCCGTCATGGAGCAATTTCGCCAACCTAGGGTTCCACGCCATTCTTAGCTTGCTCCAGATATTCTTTCTGTTGTCGATACCAGTAGTAATTATCTGCATGGTTCCGGCCTTCTGGGTATTCTCTTACATAGGTGGCGTCATCTGGGCGAATAAAGCACTTTGCAATCTAGTTGTCAATCGAAGACCGGGTATTTTGGTGTCGAGGTACCCTAAGGTGGAAGCTCCGGAACATAAGCATGAGCATTGGGTCTTTGTTAATGGTATCGCTTGTGGGTAAGTGTATTCTTGTGTTCTTAGTGACAAAGATGGGCTAACATTTATTTCTGTAGTCAAACATGGCTCCAAAATAATATAGATCGCCTGGGATATACTTTCGGGAGGAAGATAATTGGTGTGCATAATCCGTCGTACGTTTGAATGCACTATTTTGGGGGAATGAACCATGGTTACTAAGTTGCGCCATCCAGGACCGGTCTCGTTTTCGATGTCATCCAGTGTTTAATCCAGAGGGACCTCTCTTATGCAACCCAAGATGTCAGGGATGCATATGTTATTCTCCGAGCCGCTTTGCTAAATCCCCGATATACAAAGGTGGTCCTGATAGGACACAGTCAAGGAGGTATCGAGGCAGGTCTCATCACAGACTGGTTGCTAGACGAGATACCTCAAAGCCATCTCCGCAAACTTGAGATATTTACATTCGGCAACGCTGCCAATCACTTCAACAACCCATACAGGACCCGAGGAGATGCCCAAAAGAATATGACCCGCTTGACAACCCCGCAAGATAAACAACCAAATGAGAAACATGACAACACCATTCTGCATATCGAGCATTACGCCAACTCGAGAGATTTTGTCAGTCTCTGGGGTGTATTAAACTTCACGAATATAAGAAATCGGTTCATGGGCCAAGTCTTCGTCCGGCGGGGGTCGGGTCATATGTTCAACCAACACTACCTTGGTACTATGTTTCCACTTGGCCCGGATCGTAAAGTTCTGGATTCGAATCCCTTCATGGATACAGAAATCGATGTCCCGGGATCTGATGCAGATGGCTCAAAAATTTCGGTTCGCATGAAGGTCAAAGATCTTAGTCGATTATGGTCATATCGGAATGGTGGTTTCCCGAATGAATGAAAAGAGACTAATGTACCGGGCACCTTGTTTTGCCATTCCACGACTGCTAGGGTTTTAGATACCTCGCGGCGGAATTGTGCTACCTTAGTATTAAGTAAAGGACGAGAGCTATATAGGGCGACCTTTTCAATTCAGGAACGCGAATCAGATGGATTTGTTATATTTTGCCCTATTCGGGGCATTGACAACGAAGGAAACTTAATAGGAAGGGGTTTCTTTTAGTTAGAATTGAGAGCTCGGGAGTCCACTAGGGGCGCTGTTTCGCACATCAGTCTCGGATTAGATCAGTGAATGTCAATATTATAGAATATGAGAATTATGCTCCATTAAACTTGGAACCCGTATGCAAATTCTTCTTCTTGCTATGCTAAATTGTTACCATTTTATGTATCACAGCGCAGCTTTTCTCGTCCCAGCAGACTTCACTTCCGTCTCCAGAGCGTCCAATGCTGACGCATACCTAGATTTGACCTCCTTCATGTTATCCAGCTTGATTGCAACTCGCTCAACCTTCGCTGCCCGAGTTATCTTGCCATTAGCGCCCTTGGCAATCTCGTTCGTGAACCACCTGCCCTCTCTATGGGCAACCAGAGTCCATGCTGATCCTTCCCTGCCTGCTCTTGCCGTACGACCGACACGATGCACGTAAGTTGTGATACTGGTTGGAACATCGTAGTTGATTACGTGCGTCAGGGACTGGAGATCTAACCCACGGGATGCACGATCTGTAGCAATGATGATGGAAAGTTTGCCTTGGCGGTACGCGCTGAGCGTTTTGCGGGAAGCAGACGATTTATTGGATTTAATGATTGTCCCAATAAGACCAGATAATGATGGGTCAAGTAGGGCTAGAAGACGGGAGAGACGGGAGGCGGATTCGGAGGATTTGGTGAAGACCAGAACTGTGGTTCGCTCAGATGGATTATTTGATGGTATTTTAGTGGGCTTTGCAGCTTCAGAGTCGGATTCAGAACTAGAGTCAGAGCTGCTGTCAGATGAATCGGATTCGTCGCTGGAAGAGCTGTCATCCGTGTTGTCTGAGTCTGAGTCCGAGTCCGACTCGGAATCTTCAGAGCTGGATTCATCAGAAGACGAGTCGTCTGAACTTGTCTCGTCTGAGCTGGTTCCTTCTGAGCTGGTTTCGTCGGAGTCAGATGCTGCTGGTTTCGTTGGTTTTGTGGATGAGGAGACACCAAGTTTGATTTCAGACTTGAGAAGGCGAAGAAGATATAGTGGCTTTTGTGCTCCATCGCCAACTGCGACAGAATGCTCCTTAAGTGTGGTCGGGAGGCTAAATTTGTCGTCTGAATGGGCGATCACCCCGGTTTCATCATCTCCTGTTGGGGCTTGATCAGAAGCACCAACAACCACCAACTGCGGATTCGTAAGGCGAAGAGAGTTTAACTTTGAAATATCTCGCGTCATGGTAGCACTGAGAATCACTTTCCTGGGCTCTTTCGTCTGTAAAGGAAGCCCAAGGGACGACAGGAACTGCCCGCTTGAGCCAAAGGCACCGGAGCCCTTGCGCGCATCAAGTGAATGCATAACAACATCGACCCACTCCTGGAAACTTTCGTTGAGCAGTCTGTCTGCCTCGTCGATGACGAGCCACTGGAGGTGTTTCAATGCGAAGTCCTTTGTATAACGAATATGATCCACCAGACGACCAGGGGTACAAATGAGGATGTCAACATTAGGCTCCGCCTTATGGATATATCCTGGTAACGGCTCGCCGAGATCAGTTGTGCTCGATATGTAGTCTTGTAGACTAAATTCGGTCCAGTCGTCTTCTGTTAGCACTGAATTTTGCCGTGACTCAATACTCTCGGGACTATATAACTGATCAACACGCATCAACGATCGTTGTTCATCCTTAATAGCAACATTTCCTACTGCCGATCCAACGCGCAGGCCCGTCCCTGATGTGCAAAATTCACAAGCTTCCCTAGCTTGTTTGACCAATTCTCGCGTTGGCACAACTATAAGCCCTCTCAGCCTCGGGGCAGGGATTTGTTCAAGTTCGGTGACGAGGGGAAGAACGTATGACAGCGTCTTTCCTGAACCAGTAGCCGCTGAAACACAGAGATCTCCCGAGTGACTCTTGGGGCCCTTCAAAAGAAGTGGAATTACGGCGGACTGGACAGCGAAAGCCTCTTTATAGCCATTATTTTCAAGGACGCGGAGGAGCTTTGGCTCAATCCCTAGCTCGGAAAACTTGGCCCGCGTCTCGGATGAGGTCTTCAATGGATTGGCCAGCCAGGCTGGGAGGGAAGAATATGTTGGCTTCTCAGCTTCTTCGAGAACTGATTCGGGTTGGGGCATAGGTTCTAATCCCTGCGCTATGACCGGCTCAGGAGCATTCGCATCCTTTTCCGTAGTCTCATCCTCGCCATGTCCCTTTTCCGCCACAGCTTCTTTTACTTTCGCAGACCGTTCAAATTTTGATAAGATACCGGCGAACTTGTTCTTTGTCGGTTTCGAATCGTCCTCCTCCTCTGCGGTACCCCCGAATTGCGATTTCTTGGACTTCTTAGTCTTCTCAGAGCCCTTGACCGTCTCTTTGGAGTTGTCCTGTTTCTTAACTTTTCCTATTGAATCTTCAGGCTCTTCATCCGCGTCACTATCGTTCCCTGATGACCTTCGATTTTCTGATCTCGATTTCTTCTTAGACTTAGACCTGCCATGTTCGCCGGGTAACTTCGTTTTGTCGCTGCTAGGCGAAACAGCACGTTTCTTTTTACCGGATTCTTTCGAAGCCTTATCGACAGAGATCGGGCTGGATCGCCTTTCTTTCTTTTTGATTTCTCTCGGCGAAACGGGATGAGCCTTTTCATCTCGATCGTTTCGATCCTTCTTCGATTTCTTCGTCGGGGTGGACGTAGCGCCGGTGGAGCCATCGAGATCTCTCTTTCGTTTCTGGGATTTCTTTCCGCTTGCTGGGGGGGATGCGTGACTCATTGGAATATCACGAGTGACTGAGCGATCACCGGCCATGATCGAGGTAATTCCGGTGCGACTTCCAGGACAAACCAACTGAGCGCAGCTTCTGAAGTCGCAAAAAAGCTTCTCTCCAAATTATTATTTTTAGCGGGGAATATCATCCGGCAGAATAAACACCGCCCCCATCACCGCCGGGGTCTGGACGCTTGCAGATCGTCTGGAGCATCAAGCGTGTCTCCTTTTACAACAGAGCATTCTTGCTGTCTGGCATCGCTACGTGCAAAATGGACAGCGAGTGGTCACGAGAGACAAGATCATCTGGCTGACATGCTGAAACCGCCCCATGCAAAGACCTCGGCTGTTTGAACCGCCAATATGCCATACAACATTGCGTAAGTCCTCCGAAGCTTGGCTGAGATCTAATGCTAACTATATCGTCGCCTAGCATGGTCAGTGACTTTTTCTTCCCCCAGCCAGGTTGGTCGCAATTTTCCAAATTTTCTTGGTAATTTTCTAACCTTTACAGGGGGGGTTGAAAGTCACATCTACCAATTATCAACCGTAAGCATGCACCCAATCCACCTTTGGCATCCCGGGGTGATCGGTACTCATCGTGTGCTAGAAACTTATCGACCGGGGGCATAAAGTTATCATCATAACCCATGCTTATAAGGGCCGTACGGGCGTACGGTACCTAACGAATGGCCTCAAAGTTTACCATGTGCCGTTTCTGGTAATCTATCGCGAGACAACGATGCCAACGGTCTTCTCCTTCTTTCCCATCTTTCGGAATATCGTCATTCGGGAACAAATCCAAATCGTTCACGGCCATCAGAGCCTGAGCAGCTTCTGCCATGAGGCTATTTTGCATGCGCGGACAATGGGTCTGCGCACTGCCTTTACTGACCATTCGTTGTTCGGGTTCGCGGATGCCGGGTCGATTTTGACCAACAAGTTGTTAAAGTTTACACTCAGTGATGTTGATCATGTCATTTGTGTCAGCCATACCTGGTTGGTATTCGCGACTCCGGACGCAAACGAAACTGTGCTAATGTTACTTTCAGCAAAGAAAACACGGTTCTGCGAGCCTCTTTGGACCCATTAATGGTTTCGGTTATTCCCAATGCTGTAGTAGCAGAGAACTTTCGACCAATACACGCCACTGCTCGTGCGACTGAACGACTTATCAGTGGGACGCCACAAATACAGCCTCCCCCAAGGCCAATCGGCCCGAACGACATAATTACAATTGTTGTGATTTCGCGTCTATTTTATAACAAGGGCACCGATCTTCTGATCGCCGCAATTCCGAGGATCCTTGCTTCACATCCGAACGTACGCTTTATTATCGCGGGCTCAGGACCAAAAGCTATCGACTTGGAGCAGATGCTGGAACGGAACGTTCTCCAAGATAAAGTCGAAATGATTGGTGCTATTCGACACGAAGAAGTCCGAGACGTTATGGTTAGAGGCCACATATATCTACATCCAAGTCTAACGGAGGCATTTGGAACTGTTATCGTTGAGGCCGCCAGTTGTGGGTTATATGTGGTTTGCACCCGTGTCGGTGGCATCCCCGAGGTATTGCCCCAGCACATGACGACGTTCGCAAAGCCAGAGGAGGACGACATAGTATTGGCAACCAGCAAAGCTATAAGCGCATTGCGATCCAACAAGGTTCGGACCGAGCGGTTTCACGATCAAGTGAAAGTAATGTATTCGTGGACGGATGTGGCACGCCGAACAGAGCGGGTATACAAGGGTATCTCGGGGGATATTAGTCCCCAGGAGTTCTATGGATACTACCCGGGAGAGATTCAGGAAGCCGGCGATAGGGTCCGCAACTTCAGTCTCATCGATCGATTGAAACGGTACTACGGATGTGGGGTCTGGGCCGGGAAACTGTTTTGCCTCTGCGTCGTGATCGACTTCCTACTTTACACCTTCCTTGAAATGTGGTTTCCCCGAGCAAACATTGATATCGCGCGAAGCTGGCCGAAAAAGCTACATGAAGCAAATGGCAACAACACCAAAGGCGAAAAAGAGCGTCTCGGCTTGACTTCCTAATTTTCCTTTTTCTACTTTTCTATGCCTACGGACCCTAACCACGATGATACCCATTATATTTGATACAAGTTATTGTAAAATCTGATGCTAATACTATGAATAAATGAACTAAACAAATGCCTTGACGCAGCTCAGCGCTACTCTACCCAGTACTGGGGTGACCTGCCCGTTTGTTAACATCCTTCGAAGTAGCACCCATAAGGGTTGACTCTGCAGTAGTCCTGACACCTTCCTTCCCATGGCTCCTCAAGACATTAGGATTCATGGCCTGTTCGCCAGTGTGATCAATCGGGTAGGGCTGGTAGGAGCTGCTTGCTGGTGCGGTTCCTGGTGGGTAAGTCTCGGCGTGGAATTCGCGGGCATAATCCGCGGGGGAGGCTTTCACGCCGACGGCATGCTAATGAAGTCAGCGTTAAGTGTACTCCTCATATCGCAATGGGGAAGAATGAAATAATTCACCTTGTCGTGTGATAATGGTCCGTGAGGCTGCTGGTTTGGACCGGTTGGCTGGACTCCGGGCTTGAAGAAGCCCTGTTCGTTTGCAGGATTGTCGTGGACGTTGTCGAGATAGCTCATTATGAACGCTGGCGCAGATGTCTTTCTTTTGTTTATGAGTTATAATAATTAGCTGAATCGGCAAACTCTCAAACGGCATCCTTCTATAAGTATTATAATAGCCCTAATGTCTCGACTGGCATGACGTCAAAGCTTATGGCTGGCTGACCTCATTATCAGATCATGTAGACCTGTTTGACAAAGTAATAGGAATATTGGTGCATAAAATGACTTCAACTTTTGATATTTTGCCTATTCGACGAGTTGGCGTGACGTCAAATGGAAGGGTCTGGTCCTGGGGCACAACCAGATCAACCCATGGGCGGGTCTACTCGAAGCGGAATATGACATGCGCATAGCTTAATGTTGAATGTCTTTGTCTAGACCATATATATTGTATTGGTGAGGATTAGTTATACTATACATACTTAATTATTGAAAGAAATGAAGAATAGGGACAACGATCTAGGTATCTTCGTAACAGGACAAACAAGCAAAAACCCAACCCCAGGCGCCAAACAAGGTATTTTAAGTCAAAAAAGAATGCCACCAAAGCGTAAATCAACAGCATAGCTAGGTATTTCACCTCATGACAGGCGGCCGTCCCTCCTTATTCCACTTTACGCGGCTCTGAACCCATTCAACAGCCTCTTGTACCCCGGAACCCATCAGCGCACTGATTGGCAAAACACGGCTATCGCGCACAACACCGCCTGTCTCTCCTTCAAATACCTTTCTCACGAAACCTTCCTTTATCCGAACAACCTCGACCGAGTCTTCTCGGTCCTGTTTATTTGCAAGCACGAGAATAGGCACACCCGCAACATCGGCATTTCGAAGCACGGATTCAAGAACTTGGCGACACTCATCAAGCCGACCAAAGTCGCTTCCGGGGGCGTTGATGCCGGCAAGTTGTTCGGTGAAGGCAGCTGCGCTGTCATTTTCATCGTCTCCGTCGGCGTCACCGTTTGTTTCCTCTTCCGTCGACCCAGGTCCTGCAGTCGACGGTTTCCGGGAGCTATTCGTTGCTGCCGAGGAGGAAGGAAGGCGCGTAATATCAGGGTTTTGTCCAACGTCTGTGCTATCCACCACGAAAATGATCGCGTGACAGCTCGAGTAGTAGCTCTGCCACAGGTTGCGCATGGATATTTGGCCGCCGACATCCCAGATCTTCACGTACATATCCGGCAGCGATATCGTGCTGACATTTTGCCCTACGGTGGGCACCGTCTTGCCGGGATTAGGCGCAGGCGTGCCATCTGCTCGGGGCTGAAAGAGGGCTTTGATCTGGGAGAGGAGCGTTGTCTTGCCGGCGTTATCTAGGCCGAGGAGAAGGACGGAGTATTCTAGGGTCCGGGTGGCATGTCAGTATATATTTGAGTAAATATAAAGCGAGGCTGGAATGCGACATACCCTCTTTGCTAGTCGCGTACATGTACAGTGATTTGGCCAGATGGTACATCTTGTATGCAGCGGATAGCCACGCAGCCCACTCCGGAGCTTCGACAGCGCAGCCTCGGTGTGGTGATTATAGTAGAAGTGAAGGGTTATAGAGCACGATAATCATGGCAATATGACGGCCATTTCCCTTCCTGTTTCGTCGATCTAATTCGGATCGCAAGCTTGCCTCAGCTCCGGATAAGCTCGAGATAGAGCCACCTCAGGCTGCCGCGTCAGCCTTACCCAGATTTGGAAGGTAGGTCTCAGGGTTCACCAATATACAACCCTAAGCCCTACTTACCCAAATGGGACATACCCCGCAGACTGCCCACGCGGAATTGGATTGATAATCACAAAATGACTTCATGCTTCGATTACTTTCTGGTACTCGGATGTTATTATGGCGGTACCTTTTGAGGCCCATGCGATGCACGTATCCATCGGCAAGATCGCTGCAGTATACTGTTTAGCCTGAAAAAGCAAGCATCCAACGGCTCACCCTGATTCGAGGCTGATGAGGTGATGCCGTGCTCTGCCCCCAATCGTAGTCAACAAGCTTCCCACTCTGTGGTCCGTGGTCCGGACGCCAACCAGACCCATCTCGTCCGCCTCACTCGACTGCCTGTCGAGATATCGCCGCTTTCTGGTTAACGGCGCCGATGAAGACTTGCTCTGGAGCAGGGACCCTGTTTTGTCAGCAGTCCCCGTTCTTCGATGACAGTCACGGAATTGGTCCCTCCCACTTCCACTTCACTCCAACCCTTCAACCCTTCCCTCTCTCCTCTCTAGTTCTTAGTTTACCACCCCTCCTAATGTAACAGCCTTTCTCGATGGCTGCCCGGTTACCTTCCCTTAGCTTGAGGGTACTGGTTTCCGATTGCTCGCGTTGAAACTGCTCTTCTCTGCACATCCTTTCAGCGTAGCCCATGCCCCGCGCTGCCCGGACTGCAGGGGGTTGTACTCATATATAAGCCTCCCATGGATACTGACACCATTATCATCGGTATGTCGCCATAGCTGGATGCTCGTGGTTCGACGGCAATCCACAGAGCTTGTTCCCTCCTCGCCAATGGCTACCCTTATTGACCCAAGCGCACTCCAGGCAACGGGCCGTCTTCCATGATCCTGTCTTACATTCTGCACGGTCATCTTCCTTATTATTCGCCTCAGCATCCACATCCCGACCCGTTATTGCACGCGAAGCTCAAGGGTGCCCCGGCTCTTCTAGGGGCCGACGTGGATGCGCTTACTGAGCATTTCGCCGCTTCCCGCCTCTCGTATTCCACCCAAGCTCTTCCGGTAAACGTGCTACTGGATACGCTTGTCCGTCCAAGCGTCGACGTTGAAGAACTCCAGAGTATCACCAATGTGGAATGGCGGTATGAGCCCGAAAAGGCTATCCCTCATAAAGTTCTCGGTAATGCGCCGCGACCCGGTGGCCAGTGGACCGAGAATCGGATGCCCGCGAGCTGGGAAATTCAAACGCTGAGTTATGCGTCTATGCTTTCCTTACCCGGGTATTCCTTCGCCGACCATTATCGCAAAACTACGGGGAAAGACCTCCCCGCATACACCAGGCCGAGCAGGCAAGATACGGCAGATTATTTCCGAGCGTATCCCGCAGCCGTTGGTATCGATGACGCCTTTTGCTCGAACGAAAACGTATGGGGTATCATGCGGAACGAGGGCGGGTTTTACCTCAGCTCGCACAATATCCAATGCAGACATTTGGTCCTGGCCAGCGGTATCTTTTCCGAAGTCCTACAGCCTCGACCACTTATTAGACCCTTGACATTACTGCAGCCCGTGCCGGAGACGCCGCTGCTTGTAATCGGCTCTGGATTTTCGGCCGCAGATGTAATTATCTCCGCGCCAGGAAACCAGAAAATCATCCACGTCTTCAAATGGGACCCCGAGAACCGGCCGTCGCCATTGCGTGGTTGCCATCAACATGCATACCCTGAGTATGCTGGTGTATATCGGCTAATGCGACGAGCCGCTATAGCTGCGCAGCCGAACCCCCCCAAGCGTGTCAAACCGCTGCGAACCAACTCCTCACATTTTCTCGAGAGCCGAGCCTGGGCCGAGATCTATGAAGGGTTTCCAAATACGGAGATAATCGATGTACAAACTCAAGACGAAATGGCCATCGTGACCTTTCGCTGTCCTGACGGAACTACTCTATCGCGACATGTACGTGGGATGGTATATGCTACTGGTCGACGAGGCAGTCTTGGCTATCTAGACCAGAGCCTTTTGCGTGAGGTAATCGGCTCTGAGCACAAAGATGAGGCAAACACCACAATATCTGGACAGACGCTGCGAGGTAAAGCCATCGAGAACGTCGAGGTTGCGAAAGATGTCTTTATCGTCGGCAGCTTAACGGGAGATTCGCTGATTCGTTTTGCATATGGAAGTTGCGTCCAAGCTGCCGGGAAGCTGATCAGGATTACCACTGGAAATGACACAGCCAAAAATGGTTCAAGCGCCGCTTCGAAGCAGGAATTACGCATCGGTGTAATGCGTGGGATCGACGGCCACGATGTCTACCCTAATGGTGGCCAATTTCGCGGGGATCAAGACGATCGTGCGGTTGTACACGCAAATGGAGTACTCAAAGACGAGCCCAAAGGAATATGGCCCTGGATAATGGGGGTTTTGAACTGGCCTAAGGTATAGCCATGCTGTATAGATACATGTTAGAGTTTACTTCATTGTGTATAGTTTGCATTCGCATTTTGGGAAGAGCCAGGCCATGTGCTTGATAGGCTCATAATGATTTGTATATACGGTTGCTCAAGAAAGCAGAGTTTTGTTTCATTGAATCGTGTTTAAGTGCTCGCCTAACCCATAATCTGCAGCTGATCGTCCGGGGGCCAGCGCGTTTGCGCAAAGCTGAGGCATCGCTTAATACTTTGGAGGTACTTGCGTGTGCTTTCGTCACTGAGGATATGCGCTTGCTTGTCTCCCTGATGCAGCTTCTCGCGCGCTGAACGCTCGTGGATACCAACCATGGTAACACCAATGGGCCATGCTCTATTGCATTGTCAGTCATGTTAAATCTCAAATCAAGGACCGGGCTGACGCACGCTTTGCCAATACTTAGGCGGAGGTAGGCATCGTTAGCATCGACATATCTCCTTTGTTGGGCCTTGTGTATGATTTCCACAATGTGCTCGAGTACGTTATCATCAATATCCGACTTCTCGAACTTGCGAAAGAGAGGCGTCATGTTCTCTCGCGATTGTACCATTGCATTGTACGCCTGCCGTCCCTGTAAACTCTGCTTCACCGTCACGTCTCGCTTTGCCAGCGCGAGCTCCCACTCAAACAACACCATGTTGAAATATGAAGCCAATTGGCGGACCAGGAATTGGCGGCCTTCGGGATCCTTGGGCACAGCTTCCGGGATCTTCATTTCTACCTCAGGGACCGGCTCCAGCGTCGTCGGGATCGGCCCGTCAAACATCTTCTGGACTTCGCGAGAGTGCTCAAGTAGCTTCCGGTACCGTCGTAAACGACCACGGTGAGTCTCTCCGAAGAGGAGAGACGGCTCACCCAGCTCTCTGAGTTTCTCCGTTAGCTCCTCATCACCTATGTCTTCCGTCTCGCCTTCTCCCTCTCTATCCGGCGTCTCGTCCTTCTCACTAGGTGTTGGAGGCAGCTCAGGCAGCCCAATTCGCTTGCGTCGTTCTCGCTCCTTCGCCGCTTCTTCCTCCTCCCTCTTTTTTCGTGATTCCTCTGCAAGCCGTTGTTTTTTCTCCTCTCGCTCGTGTCGTCGTTCCGCTTCTTCTTCGTCCAGCTTGCGCTTATGCATCATGCGCTCTTCGCGCTCTTTTTCTATCCGTGCCTGCTCTTCTTTGTAGGCTGCGACTCGGGCTGCTTCTTCATCTGCGCGACGGGCATATTTCTTCTGTGGGGGTTTCGAGGATCCGTTCTGCTCTGAGCCTGAACTTGGTGTGGTTGAGCCTTTCGCCTTTGAGATTTCTTTTGACATTAACGAGGCGAAATCCATGGTGATGGTTTCGAAAAATGTGCGCAAACTGAAAGCATAAAATGGATATTCTTAGTGCATGGATTGAAGGTAGTAGATGTATGATACGATTGTCGTGGAAACCCAAGTGCAAGTCCAAAGGCGGAGGAAGCAAGCTGGTGGAATTGTTTCCGGCGGCCGAGACAAGCAGAGCTCTCGTGATCGGCCTTTTCAACTTCAACCACTTCACACTTCAACAACACCTCTCTGCTTCCGCATTCGCCATATCCACGACCAATGAGCTTAATCGCGTACTATCTGCCATAGCAATCCTACTTTACACCCGACTACAGAGTACGTCCTGAGAAAGACCAACTCCAAAAGCTCCAGGCACAATGGCCGCCCGCGACGCACCCAGACCCAAGATCGACCGACAAACAACAACACCATTCCACCTGAAACTCTTCTACCGCTCAAATGCCTACCACAATCTATCCGACTTTACAGTTTCACAACCCTCACCGTCTTCATTCGGCAGGCCTGTAAGCGGGCCCAACGCCATCCGCTCGCGCTCTCCTCCCCCGCCACCTGCCCTCCCAGCTCACCTCCAGATCTACACCTGGCAATCGTGCACGCTGCGCGAGCTTTCGCAACTTCTCACCTCGGCGTTACCATCGATGCTCCCTGATCCCCCCATCGGAACAAGATTATGCTTCCGACTGATCTACCCAGACACCAAGGGCGCAGCAATGATGGGCCCCGGCGCTCAGGGCAGATACCTGAGCAAGGATCTAGGCAGCGTAATAATTGGGCCGAGGGATAGTCCCTACCGCGACAGTAACGATGAAGAATCATCGCGGAACGGCGCGGGTGGTGCGCGGCCAGGACCGTTCCGCCTACAGGGGAACGACGCGGACAAGACGCTGCAGGAGGCGCGCTTCGTGATTGGGGATTACGTTGATTGCGCTATCTTGCCGCCCCTCGAGGATGGCTCGGTTGCGCCTCCGATTAGCGGTGGGAGAGGCCCCAATGTTGGAGGTGGGATGAGAGCGTTCCGTGACAGCGGGTTTGGCGGTGGTGGGCGAGGAGGAAGAGGGGGAAGAGGCGGTGGCGATCGTGGTATTCCTTCGGGTGATTGGAGACGTGGTGAGCGTATTCCGGATCATGGACGGGGGTTTGAAGGTGGACCGAGGAGAAGAGGTGGCGGTGGATGGGCGCCGTATTAGTTTCATGATACTCTTGTTTTTCTGCTTTGGAGGTTCCCGTGAGAGATTTGTATAATAGTACTATGGAGTTTGATATTGAGGGGAATACCCTGGTTAAAGGAAACGATTCTAGTTCGGTCAAATGCGTTTCTACGTCAGATATAAAGAAAGAAGTACACCCCTACGCACTGTAGCATAACAGCACAAACATAAAACCGAACGGACTTGATGCGGTATATTCTAGTAATAGTTACAATGTCCAGCGAAACCAACAGCCGCCTGGACTATCAAGACCTTAAAAATCACATCCGACTCAACTCATTTACCATTCGGCAATGGTATCTCCCCGTTTCTTCCCACGGAGATCGTATTTGCCCTGTCAGACGCATCAGCACAGCCACTCCAGTTTCAACAGTTCGAGCACGCAAAGGGGGTTATAAACGCACATCAGTCTTATAAGCGACATAGCCCAGGGAGGCCGGGATCAGGACCATGTACAGCAGCGAGTGCCATGCGGTGCGGGGCGTCCAGCGGAAGTACTTGTAGCGGTTCGTGGAGATCTCTATCCAGGAGAAAGCTCGTTAGCGAATACTCCATCTACAAATTGCCACCCTTTCTATCTCTGGCATGGCATCGGGGGCCGTAGGTTTGTATGCGGGTGAACCGGGGATCGAAAAGCGTACCGTAGTATTTCTGCAGGGCCGGGTCGAGGATCAAAGCTGTGAGAAGGACTGATTAGCGACTGGACACAGTCATTGAATTGATATACTTACACTTGCTAGGACCGGCCATGGTTGCGGTGGGACTCGAGGCGGTTTGCTAATCGAGATAATGCAATGGGCTCAATGGTGACGATGGGACGAAGTTGGAGGTCACATGATTTTGGCCGATTGCTGAGTCAGCGTGTATACATTCTCGGTCAACTCGTCTGAATCGGGGAGAACCTGGCGATGAATACGAGAGTGCTACGTGACACTATTTTGACTTTAGCTATTTGCTTACAGGTAGTAATATCATTTACATTGACTGTGAAGAAACGCGGGCGTCGGAGGGATTGTACTCGCGCCGGCTTCATTGGATTGGGGCGGAGATCCTCCGCAGTCGATGAAATCCGACCGATGGGCGTGTCATAAGCTTATTTAACCGAATCATCTAAATTATATCGTGATTTTGCTATTTGGAATACGCTGAGTAGCGCTTCCCAACAAGCAGCGTTGAGGTGGGAGGAATGAGGCCCCAATGACGCAGTCGTTCACAAGGGTTGCCGAGGACCAAAATTAGTGGTTCGAGACCAGCCCGATTGGCAAGCATCACAGGATATAAAGAACCCCCGGGTCCTATACCAAGTTATTCCCTTTTCATCATCCAAATATCCGATCATAATGGCTTCCACATCTGGCACCAAGGTCACTCTTTACTGGTATTCAACCCCTCCGGCAGTCAGGAGAACAATATGCCTAACATGTTACCAGGCTTGAAAAGTCGCGCTCCCAGCGCATCCTATGGCTCCTAGAGGAGCTCAACGTGCCCTATGAAGTCAAGACCTTCAAGCGCGGCAAGGACATGCTGGCGCCCAAGGAGCTAAAGGAGATCCACCCGCTAGGCAAATCCCCTGTTATCTCTGTCCAGGGCCCGAACTCCTCCAAGCCAATTGTCATTGCAGAATCGGGAATGATCACTGAATATCTTTGCGACCACTTTGGCGGAGACAAGCTCATTCCGACTCGCTATGTCGAGGGCAAGGAGGGCCAGATCGGCGGGGAGACTGAAGAGTGGCTGCGCTACCGATACTATATGCATTTCTCTGAGGGTAGTTTGATGCCATTCCTGGTCTTCAAGTTGGTGACAGACAGTGAGTTTATCATCAGCCAATGCTTTCCTTTTATTGTTACTAACGATCCCACCAGCCATGAAAGCACCTCCCGGTCTCCCGTTCTTCCTGAGGCCCATTCCCCGAATTGTGGCCGGTCAGGTTGAACAACAGTTCGTCGATCCCAACCTCGACCGTACCTTTGACTTCCTTGAGGACCAGCTCAAGACTGCTCCGGGTGGTGGTCCTTTCTTCTGCGGTACCAAGGTCACTGCTGCTGATATCATGCTGAGCTTCCCCTTGATTGCTGCCAACACGAGAATGCCATTGAAGGACAAGTACCCGCATCTGGGGAAGTACGTGGAAGCTCTTGAGGACCAGGAAGGATACAAGCGTGCGGTTGCGAAGATCCAAGAAGTGGACGGAAAATTTGAGGCCTCTCTGTGATTTTCGAGTATGTTTTGTTGTCACGTTAATAATATTACTGAATGTATATATCAGGATACCAAATGCTATTAATATAAGTCGGCTTCAAGTTCTACATAACATCGTACTAAATACCTTTGTTTCCTGCGCTAAATCCTCACAGGCTCCTTTCCCTCAGGAACAACCAAATGGCCCTCCCTCACCAGCGAATTCTCGCAATGCCTCCCCGTCGCCCAATCCTCCAAATTCGCCAACGTCGTCCCCGCGATCTCCGTCAGCGCCTCGCGTGTAAAGAACGCCTGATGGCCACAAACAAGCACATTCGGAAATGTCATCAACCGCATCAGCGTATCATCATGGATAATCTCCTGCGAATGGTCGTTATAGAAATACGCCCCTTCCTCTTCATACACGTCCAGCGCAAGCCCCGCCAACCTGCCACTCTTGAGCGCCTCAATCGCAGCCCTGGTATCAACCAACGAACCGCGCGACGTATTCACCAACAACGCGCCCTTCTTCATGCGCTCCAGATTCCCCGCATTGATGATATGCCTCGTCCCAGCCGTCAACGGACAATGCAAACTCACAACATCACTCTGCTCAAACAGTTCCCCCAGCGATACAAACTCCCCTCCATAGTCCCTCCGAAACTCCTCCGCGCTCAGCCCGGGCTTCGGATCCGACGCAAGAAGCCTACACCCAAACCCGAAGCTGACGATTTTCGCAAAGGCAAGCCCGATCCGCCCCACGCCCACAACACCAACCGTCTTCCCGCGCAACGTCACTCCCAGAAACCCCTCCAGGTTGAAATTGCCCTCGCGCACGCGGTTGTACGCGCGGTGGATGTTCCGGTTGAGTGTCTGCAGCAGCGCGACTGCGAACTCGGCCACGGCTTCGGGGGAGTAGGAGGGGACGTTGGCGACGAATAGGCCGAGTTCTTCGGCGGTTGGGAGGTCGATGTTGTTGAAGCCGGCGCAGCGGAGGAGGATTACGCGGGTTCCTGAGGCGTGGAGGGCGCGGAGGACAGGGGCGTCCAAGGTGTCGTTTACGAAGGCGCAGACTGCGGTGTGGTTTGCGGCGAGGGCGACGGTTTCGAGGCTCAATGGGAAGGAGTGGTAGGTTATTGTGCAGAGGGATTGGTGGTGGGTTGTGAGGACGGTGTCGAGGTAGGTTTTGTCGTAGGATTTTGTGCTGAAGACGGCGAGTTTAAGCGGTTCGGTCATTTTGGTGGTTGTTTAGCTGGTTTTACAGGGATGTGAAGATTTTCTGCTATTGTTAAACTCGCAATTTACTCCTGGGAATTTGTGGCATATTGAGGAGATTATGATTTATGAGATATGAGGGGTAGGTGGTAATGGGCTGTTGTTTGCCAAGGGCCCTTGGTTCATGACGTCGTATACTTGAGATGGTGTAGCATGATCTTTTCCCTCTTTCCAGCAGTGGTCTGCAGGTTATATATAACTTGTTTAATCATTCTGATAGTAGCAGTACGTATATCAGTTGTTATTCTCGGTATATCTCTGGTATACTATCGACATATTGCTCATACCGAGCTAAAACACCTGACTGCATATTATCTCAATCGATGCAAACGCAAAGATCATGAAAATTTAAAGATCTGAGATCTCATCTGACACAACGAAATATCTGGGGACCGCAGGAGAGTGGGGCGCTCCTCTAATCTTAGCACTTTGAAGATACTCCCATGCACGCTTATCTGAAAATATATATTGACCGACAAAAACGTAAGATACGGAGTAGAGTAGACAGATAAAGCGACGCGCCACAACATTTCGGAAACTAGATTAGACTACCAGCACAGTATATTATTGTTGAGTATCTGAATATGAGCGTTGAAGACGGTTTGCCGTATGCCCCGCAGCGGGTTCTTCACGGCACGGGAGGCCACGGCCGAGTATACAACGGCTGAGCATATATCACTGAGTATACAACCATACCGGGGAAACCACCTGGCTACTTAATGTAGGCCCTTCGCATTAAACCAGCTGACGACATCACGGGCAGTCAACTTGGCCACGCTCACCGCAGGGTCGGCGACTAGAACTGCCGGTCGGAATTGATTATCTTTTCCCAGGCCTGGGCACTTACCCAGTTGCTGTAAGAGATATCGTCGAGAGCCGGCCGTCGTTGTCGGTGAACGAGTCCGACCAATCGCTTGGAGTGAGTATGAAGGGGCAAGCATAACATATTCCAGCGATCGACACGGCGGATAAAGATACCGCATGTGGGAGTGACGAGTGTTGGCAACCCCCCATCTCTACAAGAATGTTGTGTTTTCTCGGCTGCGATGGTCTGAATCCAAGCGGTAAGGTTGCTGTCCTCCTTGATATGCACGCACGCATCACATATCATGTCTGTTTCCTGGATTAAGGTGAAAACTGATGATGTGGCGCATCAATACCCCCTGGCATGGACCATGGACAAGAGACAGCAATTTGCCAATAATATGGGCGAACAGAAGTACGGAGTCGTTGAGAGAGAGTCTGGTACGGCTGCCTGGTTTGCATATCCCCGTACCATACTTTTCTTGGCAGGCTGTTTGGCCGCGGAGCTACATGTACGAGACTGGAGACACTAGACCCAGAGGCGAGACTCGAATGTAGACGGACGGACATCCGGAGTCTACTCTATTATCAAAGGACACCTTGTTGTTTCAGAAAGGAAAATAGCGAGGCGGGCTCTCATGTGATGGTTGGTGCGCCTCAAGTAAAACGATTCGACCGATGCAACTTTAGCGGTCTTGAGTCTTGCCTTGACTCGAAATCGTGACATTAATCCGAAACTGGGTCTGGGCGGCTAGACGATGCGGGAAAACGCCACTTTGATTAGCCGCTTTAGCGGCTGGCCATTCAATTGGCCGGGTTATTCATCACATCCTGAACAGAAATTCTTCACGCTCAGTTAGGAGCTAAGAACAAGGCGGATTAGTTTTGGACGATTTGGGGGAGTCGGCGACCGGGAAGTCCTTGCGCTTTGACGAGCACTCAAACCCGGCCCGGCACCCGGCGATGCGACATGGGGAAGACTAGGGAGTTGTGGTTTCTCCAGGCTTTAGTTAGTTGTCTCGTCACATCTGCATCTGCACGACATATCTCCTCTGGGCTCAGGAGGAGCCACTGAAAGTCGAAGTCGGAAGGGCCGGTTTCCATCACGACTGGGCCTCGGCTCAAGACCTGAGAATCGAGTTGATAACAAAGTTTGATAAGATGTCTCGGTCGAAGTTCGGGAGGGGCGACGTTTTGATGATAGGTCGCTAGAATGTTCGCCAGTGCTTCCACAGGCCGTTGCCCCTCGGGGCTTTGCCTGTTTGGGCCCCGCCGGTGACTCCGTTACATAACCAGCAGCGAGAAAGCTTCGGCATTTGTCCGTGCAGGCGAGCCACATGCGGCCGGCAAATCAGCGCCCAGCGATAAGGCGTTCGAACGGCCAATCCGGAGGCAACACTGATCGGGTCCCGTCGTGCTGGAAAGGGCCGTGCTCAGCGGTGATTGGTGGGCCAACCCCGAAGGCTCACGGGGAACTTTTACCTCAGACGCGCCGGCAGGAGTCTACGAGTCACCGCCAGACGCTCTGGCAAGGGATGTGCCGTTGCTGACCACCATGGCCTCTGCAACCCTCCGGTTTGTTGCTGTCTCGGGGTTGCGCCTGGTGCTCGTGATCTGCAGGCTGGTGCTACGCCGTTGGAAGGGCAGCTGGTGAACTGAACGCTTCCGTCGTGGAGGGGAGCCAGAACGGGACTGTACGGTGGGCCGTGGTCGCGTGTAGCACTGGGGAGAGAAAAGTGCAGGTGGGGATCCGAACGGCACTCGTGTTGCCAATCAGGAGCGCCGCGATTGTTCTGACGCTAAGTTCTTGGGCTGGAGTCCACCGCTTTCGTGCGAGAAGTGGACTTGCTGGAGAACATGGAGATTGCCTGAAGGGGAAAGTCATCATGTTCGTTGCCTCTGAGCAGTAGTGAACCATTAGTTGCCACCGGCCGAGCCGTGACGGATGGGTCGACATACGGGTGGGTGGGCATGATGATATTCAATACGACAGCGCCCAGCTGCTTGTAACTGAAGATCCATGGGAACAGCTCCCAGCAAAAGGCGGTCTGGAGGGCAGGGATGTTGTCATGATGATGGATGGGGATATCCCTGCATGAACGGCTTGATCGTGCAGTTGTAGTTCTAATTCAGGCTTTCAGATTGGCCGACATGCGGGCAATTGAGTCGACAACTCTTCGGAGCAGCAAGTCGCAAGCTCTTGCATCGACTGACCAGAAAGTGTCTGGTAAGGGGAAATTGCCGAGAAGGATCGGCCTGGACAAGGTGGTTGCTCGTCGAGGCATCATGGATCGAGTAATTAGGGAGCAAATCCCGCCCGCAGCCACCGGGCAGCAACCAACCACCGCCCGCTCATTTCCCTCGGTAAAACACCGCGGTTTGCTTCAATAATCCAATATTCACGGATAATACCCCTAGATTGCAGTGCTTCATTATTGATTCATTGACTCATTGATTCATTGATTCATTATTGTGAGACACGATAATATCCGTCTCCAGGGAGAGCCGGAGGAGGGTGCCAGTGTACGAGGGCAACGCATGCAAAGAGCGGTAACGGCCCACCGCAACGCTCCTTCGGGGATTTTAAATTGTTATTAGTCGGGTCTCATTCGTATAGCCAGACTTGCCTTCTCCGTCCAAGCGGCCGATGCGATGCTGAAGGATTATCGCTGGCTCCATCTTCCCTAGCGCACATCGCATCTCCATCTCAGTCTCCAGGCTCGAGGCTCCACCGGCGCATGGCAACCTCGCCCTCTGCTCGTCCTATTAAGCCCCATGCATTCCCACATTACAAGCCTCCTGTAAGCAACGACTGAGGTTCACTCCTGTCCTCTTATACTCCTGCCACCTGCCCCTCGAGGCTCTGTTCCATATCGACTCATACTCGGGTTTCTTCGACTCACAATTGACCCATTCACAACCTTATCGTCACTGTGAACCTTGTCCCCTCGCCTCTTGCCACTGCAATGTGTTCATGCCGACATCACTTCATCTAGCCTTTGTTGTCCATTCACTCTCGTCTCCACATAATAGTTAATTCCATCTTCACTACCTCCATACACTTCTCCAACCGGCCGCGTGTTAGTCCGTACTCCTTTATTTAGTCCGCCTCCAGCGTCTTTCGTCGCCGAACACCACATTCCTCTAATCTCCCCTCAACATGGCTACTCACGTTATGACCGCGACAACCACTCCCATCAACCAGATCTCCGTCTACGGCCACCCTTCTCCCATGAACTCTGGTTCCACCACTCCCTCCAACAACTCCCCCACCTCTCCTCGCCAGCAGTATCTCCCTCTGCAGAACCGCCAGCTGCGCCCTCCAAAGGCGCCGCTCTATGTTCCTGCAGCTCTGCGCCCGACCGAGCGGCCCTCGAAGCCCTCGCCCCCCACTCCCCCCCGCAGCGTGCATGGCTCTCTCGACAGCCTGAACGACGGCGAGACTGGTGAAACTGCGCCTCGTCGCACGACTATGGAGAGCTTCAGCAGCGGTGGTGGAATCAGCAAGATGGCTGAGAACGAATGGATGAAAAATGAACAGCTTGGTGAGGTTACCGGCCTCCCAACCAGAGATCACTGGAAGGTAAGCTTAAAACATTCGTCCCCTTCTTCTGTTTCGCGGGCGTTTGGCTCCAATTTATACTGCGGCGATTGCGTGCCTGTGCATAATGTCCCGCAGCCAACTGTTTTGCGACATATTGCGTGATCTGCACTGTCAACCTCATCATACCCTGCGTCATCGCCCATCAACTACAGTGTGTTACTATTGTTGGAATGTCTGCTAACAATTATTTATTAGGCGGACTCTGCTTCTCGCAGCTGTGACTCCCCTACCTGTCGCTCCTCCTTTGGTCTCTTCCTTCGGCGTCACCACTGCCGTCACTGCGGCCACGTCTTCTGTTCTTCCCACACTCCCCATGCCGTCCCCCTCGACCAGGAGGCTCGTTTCCACCCCGAGGGTGTTCTTTCTCGAACCTGCGATCTCTGCTGGAGTGCTTACCAGCGTTGGGATGAGGCACGTGCCGACCGACTGAACAAGATCCAAGACCAGATCGACGCTCAAGATGACGACTCGAGCAACGGCGGAGCCAGCCCTACTGGTTCTGTTGCTGCCTCCTTAGCTGAGAGTCGCAAGAAGCCTTCGACCCAGAGCGGCGAAATCGCTGCCAGCGTTCCTCGCGGCTGGAACTGGAGCACCTTCTAAGCGATCAATCTCGCCTACCGTTCACCTTGAACTTTCTTATGAGCTCTCACATTGACTGATGAGACGCCTCTACTACAACTTCTTCACTTCGACACACCGCATATTTTAGAACATCTTAGCCGTTTCCGCTGAGCTTTTCCGTTTTCGTCATCTACCTGGAGTTCGATCGGTGTCTTGCGACGTTTGCGATTTGCATTCTCAATTTTCGTCAATTTTCGTCAATTCTCGTCCATGGACGATCTTAATGCTGCGATATCTTTATAGATATGGAGAGGCCTTTTAATCTTTTCTTTCTTGCCTTTCGCTCAGGATACCCTGTCATGATTACACATGCTGTTTCTGCTTTTCTTCTTTTCAAATGGCGTTATGATATGAGATGCTCAGCCTAATTTCGGTACATAGAGGCGTTAATGATACTTTCGAATTCCAGAGTTTGAACCAGAATCCAGAGTTTGCAACTCTCCATCTATTCGTAATTCAGGTATATAAATCCCATTCATCTGTAGAAACTAACCCCTAACATCCAACCTCTTCCACATTCCAACATGCTCAATGCCTTCCTCCACCCACCTCCCCAAATCCTCGTCCGTCACAAACCCCAACCGCTTATACAACCCCTCCACCTCAACCTGCGCATGAACCAAAGCCAAGCCCTTCCACCCAGGAGCCCTCTCCGGCGTAAGCCCCAACCTTTCTCGCTCTCTGTTAAAAACACCCTCAAACGCCGCCGTAATCGCCCCCGCATTCTCCTCCGCCCACCCCATCGCCGTCTCCATCAATTGCCTTGCAAGCCCATTGCCCCGGTGCGAGGATACCACGGCCACACGCCCGAACTTGATGTACGGCTCGTGGTCTAGGTCGTACCCGGCTGCCGTGACGTCTCGCGCTGCTGTATCTGCATCTGTATTTGCATCTGCGGGTGCAAATGCAGCGACGAACCCTTCGTGAGATGCATGCGGTGGTGGGACGAGGCGAACTACCCCGACGGGTACGACCTTTTCTTCAGATCCAGATCCAGATTCAGGGTTTGAATGGTAGAGAACCCATTGCCAGGACCGAGCGTCGTCGTCGTCAATCTCGAATTCGGCGGGGCATTTTTGCTCGTCGACGAACACCTCGAGGCGGACTGAGAGGGCGTCGTTGAAGAATGGCGGGTTTGTTGGCGGGGATGGGGTTTGAGGGGTTGGAAGAGTGAGGGGTTGTGAGCCTGGGGGTGGGATGATTGTACTTGTATATTTCTTTGGAGGGGGCATTTTGGTTTTAGTGAGAGGTGGGTGCTCAAGTGATTAGGTCTGTTTTTGCAATTGGTTTGGGATGTGAGGAGGGTTTTATGGTTGATATACACCGTATATACACCGTAGTTGAGGATTTGGAGTGTCGTAGGGCGTATTGTGGAGTCTTTTTTTGCATCCATGCATGAAACGACTGGGGTTCGACTAGTACAACTGTAGATCTCACCTCCCTTTTGAACTGTTTTCTTGACGGAATATAAATTGTCTCGAGGAACACTTCTTCAATTAAAATTAAGACGATTCAATTTTCTTGAATCACCTCTCTTGTATCTTCGTCTTATCCCATGATTATAGCAGAGCCTATACATAAGCATAACAGTACTTCCCAGCCATGGGATCTGCCACCTCTCGCAAAGTAGTATTGCCTCCAACAACCCCAAACGACATAACAGTGTCTCCATCCACCTCAGGCGTCACGCCGATGGGATTTCTAAACGTACTCGTCCCATTAAACGACTCCCTCCTTCCCTCCTCCCCCGCCTGCCAAATCGCCCAAACGCGATCAATCTGCGCATGATGCAAATAAAACACTGGGTCGGCGGGACTCGTAAAGAAATCACTTAGCTTGCCACCCCCCGAATTATGGCCACCTGTATGCGGTGTGGCTATGAACTCCTGGAACTCCGTGATCCCTGTCGCAGAGAACACTTTGTCGACGATGTCTTTGTTGTTGGATTGCTGCATGACTACGTCGTTCAGATCCCGCGCTAGACAGTGCGGGTTGGCCTGTGTCCAGTTTGATGGGAGCCCGGTCTCGCTGTATTTCCCCGGCAGCGGGCCGAGGGATACGCTTATGTTTGCGAATGGACCGCTAGCTATACATCCTCCTGCGCCGGCCCAGGTGCCGGCAGGTGGCGCGGCGCCTGGCAAGGCCAGGCTCGGCGGGGCCTCGGGGAGGGGCAGGCCATTACCACCAAGAGAGGTCGGGGAGCCGTCGAAGAGGGTGGACTGTATGAGTGGCCTGTCTGTGTAGAGGGGCCAGTCCCAGTATGGGATCCCGAGGTGGGAGGGGTAGCTGCACTCATGGAGGGCAGATTCGAAGAGGGCGACAAACTCGCGGTGCCAAGAGAGGAAGGTTCCGGAACTGTGTATTGAGAGGGAAAGGCCGGCGTGGGAAGCGGCGAAGTCGGTGAAGTAGGATGTGCTGGCGGGCATAGTGCCGGGGGGGTATATGGAGGGCTTGTCCATGAGACATTTGACGGCGTCGATGTAGCTGCGCCGTTCTTCAGGGGATGAGGAGCTCCATTCTTTGCGTTGGATGGCGGTTTCCGGTGTGCATGGCGGAGGCTTTTGGTAAGGGAGGGCCGCAGCGAGAGGGAGTACGAGGGCGAGAAGGGACAAATGCATTTTGAATGCTGTTCGGTAAGGTTGGTGATGAAGGGTGGAAAGGGGCCAAAGGCTCCTCTTTTTATATGCCATGTAGGTGTGCAATTCAACCTGCACCTGTCAATGCGTCCATAGCTGCGCTTTGGATCAGCCTCGCAAGGGCCTGTTTAATATTGACCAATATCAGTCAATTTCGGACGCAGGCTGACTGGGGTCATCACATTTTCCTCAAGGTAGACGCAGAAGGTTTCGTATAGCCAATAATGTAGGGAAAATCCCCGAGAATGGTTCCATTGCATGTCCGCAGGCAGAAAAGGCTTAAAGCTGCGTTGCTGCAAGGAGGTACGCCGTGTTTATCGAGTCCTGTAATAGGAAATGAGCAACAGTGTATTCTAATATATTGGGAGGCTGTTGCAATAGTTGGATATTAGAACCAGAAATTGGAGCTAGAGAACCAAACAAAGAAAGTAACAGCATCTTCCAAGTTTGGGGGTGAACTTCTCGAAAACAGACACATCGCAACCTCACTGTCTCTTTGCCGCATGTTTCAGTCGTTGCCTCTCCCCGTCCTTCTCTAGGAACCTTTCCATGCTGCTCACGGAGGAAAATGGCGCGACACGGAAGGTCCGGCAGATTACCGTCGTTGCCCCCGAGACCAATATTGAATGGCACCGATACAAAGCAGAGGAATGCCTCGCAAGCCAAGAATGTCGCTGGTGTTGATGGTGGATCCAGCAACAGGATAAAGTTGGCAAACAGTGCAAACACCACTGATCGACTGCGGGCGGGAATTTTTATCAGCTTCACCTCCGACGCCGGGGACAGGATCCACGAACAGCAACCACTGCCGACAATGTCGCTGTATTACGATGCCGTGTCTGTCCTCACGGCGCCATCGTCGGCCGGGGGCTCGTTCAAGTCCCGGCTATACAATTCCCGCTCCCTCAAGGCCTCCCCCGCACAGGTGTATGCCCTCGTCGTCGAGGCCGCTAAATGGGACATTCTTCTCAAGGAAGTAATTGACCAGGCTGGGATCCTGAAGCTCGAACCAAAGGTTGACCTCACCCTTGTCTATAGCTGCTTTGCGGCGCTGTGCCGAGAGAGAGAGAGTCCTGCTGACTGACCAAGAATTCCTGAATCTAGCTCACCCCACTACTTTCTCTTCTCCTCGTCCACGACCATCTCCTTGCCAAGAATGGCATTGCTGCGAAAGCATCCCATCCACTCCGCCAGGCTGTCGAGAGGCACAAGGTGCGACTAAGGGGCGAGTTTACAAAAGCACGCGTCCGGCGCGCGTGCGCGACGATCCCGGAATTGAAGGAAGCCGTTCGCCGCGAAAAGCTGGCGGCGCAGGGTGCCGGGGCAAGTGCGGCTGCTGTGTATCCGCGCTGGGTGCGAGTTAACAATGTCCGGACGACGAAGGAAAAGCAGATGGAGACGACTTTTTCTGCATATGAAGCTGTCGACTCGCTTGAGGAGCTTGTGGTTGGCGGCGATGAGAAACAGAAAAGGATGCGGCTAGACCCGCATATCCCGGATCTTGTTGCGGTTGCCCCTGGCCTGGAGTTTGCGACGGTGCCGGCATATAAAAATGGGGAGATTATTCTCCAGGATAAGGCGTCTTGCTTCCCGGCTTACCTCCTGCTCGGCGAGGATTGGGGGAGCGGTGGCGATCTGATGGATGGGTGTGCGGCGCCAGGAAACAAGACCACGCATATGGCTTCTTTGCTGTGTAAACCCGGACAGAAAAGGCCCTCGTCTCATATCTTTTCCATGGACGCCTCGCGCGTTCGCGCGAAGACGCTACAGAAAATGGTTTCAACAGCCGGTGCAGATAATTTCGTCACTGTCCTGCAAGGACAAGACTTCCTCGCCCTCGACCCTGAAGATTCCCGATTCAAAGACGTCACGGGCCTTCTCCTTGACCCATCCTGCTCCGGCAGCGGTATTATAGGCCGCGACGACATTCCCGAACTTATCCTCCCGTCATCAGGAAAACCCACCCCGTCAGCATCGTCGACGAAAAAGAATGGCCAGAGCCAAAGCAAGAAGCGCAAACGCAATGAGGCCTCGGCTGCTGATGAGCCTGAAGAAGCGTCCTCCGCAACAGCCGAAAACGATCTCCCCACCGCGGAAATCAACCAAGACCGCCTAACGAAACTCTCCAACCTCCAGACACTAATTGTCGCTCATGCCCTGTCCTTTCCCTCTGCAACAAGGATAACATATAGTACATGTTCAATCCATATCCTCGAAAACGAATCCGTTGTAGCTAGAATCCTGGATAGCGAGGTCGCCAGGAGGCGCGGGTGGAGGGTATTGCGGCGCGATGAACAGCCGGAAGGACTGAGGAACTGGAAGCATCGTGGTGTCGGGAGCGAAAAGGCATCTGGTAGCATTGAGGAATGCTCGGTTGATTTGGCTGAACAGGATCTGGAAGGGTGTTTGAGGTGTTGGCCTGGGGATGATGAGGGAACAGGTGGGTTCTTCGTTGTTGGGTTTGTGAGGGATGGCGACGTAGAGGAGCAGGTGTCTTCTGGTTCTCGTGGTAAGGATCATGAAGACATCGAGGAAGATGAAGAGGAGGAAGGGGAGGATGAATGGGAGGGATTTTCTGACTAGAAGTAGTACACGCCCAGTTGGAAGATGAAGCGAATCTGAAGTGTAAAATATCTTGAATCTATAAATGGATATATAAATCTAGGAACACACTTCATCAAGGCCCTAGGAAAGCCCGTTTCCGATTCCGCGCTCTTTGACTCGTATACACATCTAGCTTGACACCCACCAAGACAAAGCTCACACTGCCATCTGAACCCTCTCCAGGGCGCATTAAGATCCGCCACTGGCCATTCCTCACGACCCAGGAACCGCTGCTTTCAGCCTGTGATCCTGCCTGGCCTTCTACTCGTCTGCGTTTGGCCTGTGGCTCATCTGATGGCAAGCCCGGAATATGGAAGTTCTCCTGCTGTTCACCGTCAATCATAAGGTCTGTCTCGTCGCTAATTTGAACGTGCAATGGGTGCTCGGCGCTTTTGACCAGTTTCTGCGAGTTGTCGTTCTTCCTATCAACGATAACTTGAAGAAGACTGGCGACACGTGCCTGAGCGGAATTGAGGAATTTCGGGCGCATTGTGAGCGGGTCAATGATTGTGTTTTCGTCGCCGATTTCAAAGACGAGGTCGTGCGACGACTCATCGACAAAGGGCCGCGAGTATGTGACTGCTACTCCCTCGCTGTTTTCCTTTGGTGTTTCAACCTTGATACCCGAGCGACGGACATCTTCGAGGCGGAGAGTGATTTCGGAGCGGCCTCGGATGGGGTTGAAGCTTATGTTGTGGGGTACGAGCTTTTGCTCGAGACCGCGGAGGTGGAAATAGCGACAGTCCCGTAGCAGCTCGGCCCGTTGGGCTTCGCTTTCGATGTGGAGAGGGTAGCCTCGCAGGAGATGGACGAGTTGAGCGAAGACGTCGCCTGAGCGATTGGGTACACTTGGGGGCACTATAGCTGGAGGCCGTAGAAGGCCGCGTCTGTCGAGACCGGGGAAGACTTCGGCGGGGGACGCGAAGAAGGCCCCGAAGCCGAGCGAGAAGAAGTTTGGGGAGTCGCCGGGTCCGGAGAAGATGTCGCGGGATATTTGGAAATGGCGGTCGCCGATCTGGATGATAATTTGAGACTCAAACAGTTGCGACATCAAACGAGGCACTATGATTGTGTTAACTAGATGTCGCGCGGCTAACTGAGAGGTCCCGTACAGCTATAGAATTGGGAATCGGCGAAAAGTTTCACGAATTCGGCGCCATCTTTGGGATGGCAATGATATCCTGCCAAACAATAAAGTTAGCATCGTATTCCCATGGTAGATACAGTCCTGAGCTGCAGACTTGCCTTGTAAGTGCCGGGCGATCTCGCGGAATGTGTCTGGGTCGCGATCGATGTATAGGGTGCGAATGTTGTTTCCATCGGGGTTCTGGCTCAATTGGTCTTCGAAGAATCGCGAGAAGTACGAGGGAGCTCAATAACAACCATCACCATAAGAATGACCGCACATTATTGGGGGCCAGGTCCTACTAACCATCGGAAGCAATGGATGCGCCTGAGAGGCGGAAGAGTTTCGTGCCAATTTGGATGGAGAAGACCTTCTCCCGTGGGAGATTGCAGTCGGATGGGGGTAGTATTTTTTCCACCTCCATCGAGCCGGTTCTGGTTCTTGTCGCTCAAGCTCTTTTGTCGTCCAATATCCCGATAGTTTTCAGGTAGGTCGAGGGAGGGGTCTCGGCGCAAAACACGTCGTTGGCCCGGAGATGGCGCGATCGGGGTGAGATGGACGGTAGGGAGGTGTGGGCAAGCAGTCAATTGAAACAACTAGCATGAGCGAAAACAGATATCATAAAGTCGTCAAGAACACGAGTTGCGAGCAGGCGATGCATGGACAGCGGAGGTGAAGCTGAAGCTCCAGCTGCATCCCCAAGTCACGGGCTGCCGGAGTTACCGGCGTTATCATCCGACCTGGTCATGGCCATCATCTCGACCATCTACAAAACAAGGGTATCAACTGCGCCCACAGCGACTCCAATTGACGCCTCATCAAGAGCAGCTTCTGTTGCTGCGTTCATGGAAAGCTACGTTTTCCGATCGGTGGAGCTTCCAGCCTCGAGCGACCTTCAGATCAGACATCTCCCATTGATCGGATAACCCCCGTATGAATCTAGTAGCCTTTAGGTTTAGTGCAGTGTATGGCTGTGTCGAAAGTCATACCGGGTGCGACGATATCTCTAAATATATGAAAACTTAATTCTAGCTCAATTTTACCTAATAAGGACAGGTAGTAATTAAAACCGATCTTTTATGAAGTTATTAATATATTCACTCCCTAAATCAGGGCCCGGGAGCCATCCGTGCAATGGGCGACATCTCCACATCTCAACGAGATTCCGAGGAACAGACCAAGAGGATGCGCGTCTAGATAACGGGTCTGTCCCGAGAGTCAAGCTCAAACGCCTGGCACAGCGAGCCTCGAAGACATTTGCGGTTTCACATGGGCCGATGTGGCTCGGCTGTATGGATTCCAATCCGCTTCCCCGCGTCTCACTCCACTAATTCTCGCGGTATTAGCGTCCAGGCCACCCACTCGATTGACAGTCCGCGACCGCTTTGTGGTGGTTCTGGGCAGGAATGGCCTGAGTCTTCACTGCAAGATCGGCGGATATGCCTCGGTTTGTCGGCCATGTGGTGACCCCTCGCACCCCCTGTGTTTTTTGGAATAATTGGCTGGAGACTGGAGGAAACACTGGTTGCTGGATGGAGCTCTGCCCGGCGACGCTCTTCGCAAACCCTGCCATTTCGGGAACGATCGCTCCTGCTGTGGATTCATCCACTCTTTTATTTGAGCTTTGAGGCTGCTCCTCTGAACACAACCAACCCGTCGCGACTCTGGGGAAGGTGCAACTTTGGTATATCACTTTCCGCCCCCCTCACCTCAATACTTTCTCTCGCACAGCGTCTTCTTTTGAGAAGAACCTGTCTCTATTCTTCTCCCGACTGTCGTTGAATATCCTTATACCGACGTACCTACGTAGTTGGGCTGTTACCATTGACATCCACAATGGCCGAAGAACTCGTCTCCTTCACCCCTCTGGTTGCTCCTCTTGCCCCTGTACCTACCGAGCAGGTGTTTTCTGATTTGCAATGGAAAACGCTTCTATCCCTCGCCGATACTGTTATCCCGTCTGTGCGTGGTCCCAGAGCGCGCAAATCGCGAGGCACCAAAGTTGTATCACAAGCGAAGCTAGATACAGCTCTTGAAAATATCAAGGCTACCGTGCCCGGTCCCGACGCGGATACCATCGCAACAAAATATTTGGAAGAAAACTTGACGTCAATCCCAGAGGCTCGCCAAGCCCTACAGCGCCTCTTCTCGGTGTATGTGCACCAAGAGGGGAGAAATGGGCTAAGCTTGGTTCTCACTGCTCTGAAGTATGTGCCCTCGTCCGTTGCTGTTAGCCGCGATCGGTAGACACTTATGCTGATTTTGTAGTACGAAAGCGGGTTCTCTGCTCTTGACGGGGTCGATGACCCCTATTCAGGACCAGCCATTTTACGTTCGGGAACAGATTTTCCAGGGCTGGGCCAACTCGCGATTGCCCCCGGTGCGTTCTGTTTATCGTGCACTTACTGGGGTCTTCAAGAGAACATGGGTTACCTTCAGCCCAGCCCTCTATCCAACTCTTGGTGCTCCTTTGGTTCCCGTCTATGGATCCCCACAAGACGGCTTCAACTTCGAGTTCTTGCAAATTCCTCCTGGAGAGAAAACTGAATTGATCGAAACCGACGTCTTGATCGTTGGAAGTGGTTGTGGTGGTAGTGTCACTGCCAAAAATCTCGCAGAGGCTGGCAGGAAGGTTATCGTCGTGGACAAAGGTTATTCATTCTCAACCCGGCAATTCCCAATGAAGCCAAACGAAGGATTCAATAACTTGTTCGACGCGTCTGGTGCGATCACCAATGACGAGGGTTCGATGGGTATTCTCGCTGGCTCTACTTGGGGAGGTGGCGGTACCGTGAACTGGTCGGCCTCTCTTCAAACCCAGGGATACGTGCGTCGCGAATGGGCCAACAGTGGTCTTCCGTTCTTCACGTCTCGGGAATTCCAAAACAGCTTGGATCGCGTCTGTGACCGCATGGGTGTCAGTACCGAGTCGACCAACCATAACAAGGCCAACCGCATGATCCTCGAGGGTTCCCGGAAACTAGGCTACAATGCCAAAGAGGTACCGCAGAATACTGGCGGAACCACTCACTACTGTGGACATTGCACACTGGGCTGCCATAGTGGCGGCAAACGGGGTCCTATCGAAACCTTCCTGGTCGATGCTGCTAACGCAGGTGCAACATTCATGGAAGGGTTCAATGTGGACCGAGTCCTCTTCTCTAAGAAGAAGGCCGGGAAGATTGCTTCCGGTGTAATTGGTACATGGGTTTCACGCGATTCCCACTTTGGGACTTCTGGAGTTGGCGCCGTTAAGCGGAAGGTTATCATCAGGGCGAAGAAGGTCGTTATATCAGGGGGTACTCTGCACAGTCCACTTTTGCTGTTACGGAGTGGCATCAAGAACTCAAATATAGGAAGAAACCTATATTTGCATCCTGGTGAGTTGATTTTTTTTTTTTTTTTTTTTTCTTTTGGCGATTTAAACATGTGCTTACAATTATCTTTTAGTTGCCATTGCCCATGCGGTTTTTGAGGAAGAGACACGCCCTTGGGAAGGGGCTTGCTTGACAGCAGCCGTCAACGAGTTTGAAGACATCGATGGTCATGGCCATGGATTCAAGATCGAGGCTGTCTCGATGCTTCCAGCAGCCATTCTTCCCATTTTCACCTGGCGCGATGGACTCGACTATAAACTCCAGGCGGCCAAATTGTCCCACTCGGCGGGCCTAATCACTCTTGTCAGAGACAGAGACACCGGACGGGTGTACCCAGATCCCACCGATGGACGAGTTCGAGTTGACTACAGTGTCTCAGCATTTGATCGTCACCATATGGTTGAGGCCCTAATTGCTAGCGCGAAACTTTCGTATATTTCCGGGGCGAAAGAAATCCACACCTCCTACCGTGACATGCCGCCATTCATTCGACCAACCGATGATAAGGGTGACCACCCTGACGGAATCAACCATCCAGCACTCCAAGCGTGGATCGAAGAGCTTCGACGCAGGGCACCAAAGACCTCGGATAAGGTCATGTGGGCGAGCGCTCACCAGATGGGAAGTTGCCGGATGGGTACCTCTCCTCGCACCAGTGTTGTGGACCCGGAAGGTCAGGTCTGGGGGGCTAAGGGGCTGTATGTCGTTGATGCGTCGATCTTCCCGAGTGCCAGTGGTGTCAACCCCATGATCACCAACATGGGAATTGCGGACCACGTCAGTCGCAATATTGCTAGGACGATGGAATCACAGGGCGCTCGCCTGTGAGGGTGCAGGTTTGGTTTATGTGTTGTATGACTGACGATGAGGGCACTGGACTGTCCGAGATATCCTACCGTGTAATACCTGTCTGTACATATTATTTATAGCTATCATTAACATCCTTTGCTGTGATTTGGAATCGTAAATGTAGCTCACCTGGCCACTCCGAACCGGATGCTGGCCTATTCCTACACGAGTGGATGGTAGACATGCCCGTCAAGTTCTCTGGCAGTTATTTCTGGTGTGGCGGTCACTATATGATTAGTGATCGCTCCGAGCCGACAGCCGAACGAGAAGAACTGGGGCCTCCCCCCGACTGCGCATTTCTTCATCCTCCCGAGTATACATTCATAGTCTTTAATGAAGAACGTGAGTTCGACCCACTCTTGAAATGAACCCTGAGCAAAAGCAGTCCCCAGTCGACGTCGCTGGGCCACCCGCCAGGACCAGGCAACGGCGGAGACCGAGTCGGCCCAAGCAGGAAGATGGCGCAAACGAGGTGCGTAGCATGCGTTATAGTTAATTATAGACTGCGGCCTAGCTGACGAATCCTAGCGACGTCGGACACAAATTCGTATGGCCCAGCGGGCGTATCGAGCCCGGAACCAGGCCAATATGACAGCCCTTACCCGGCGCGTTGCCCAACTGGAGACAGCCCTGGAGAGGATGAGCCACGCTGTCGTCTCGTTCAGTGATGATCTGGTCCAGTCGGACGCACTGGTTGTATACCCGAATCTCGCAGACCGTCTTCGGGACACTGTCGAAACGTGCCTCTCCGTGGCGAAGTATGGCGAAGAGGGCAACCATCCAGAACAGAGCAGAGAGTCTTCCAGATACTCCACGGAGGTTTCTCCTTCAATTCACCCTAGTCTGTCAAACAGTACCGAAGATTTCCTGGCGACATATCGCTCAAGCAAGATCTTCCCATCCGGCTCAGATGGTGCCAGCAGCATAGAGGTCCCAGAATTCATAGAGCACCTCCGACTATCCTGCCTCTACCGCGGCCTGCTCCTACTAAAAAACCCTTCTGTTTCCATTGAAAATTTAAAACGGCCCTTCCGATTGCTGTTACCACTCGTACCTAGGGAGACAATCACCGCATTCTTCCACGCCCGTCTCCATGCACGGCTCAACCGTACACAGCCGGAACAGTTCGCCGAAATCCCCTTCTTTCATCTGGGAGGTGCTGGTACGCATTATCTAGATCCATTTCCAACAGGTAAAAGCCGTGAACATGCGATGGAAAGTTCGTCCTTGTCCGAACCCTCTGCCGAGATCCTTGATGAGCTAGACGGGGAGTGGTTTGACGTGCATGACTTGAAGAGATATCTGCAAAAGAAAGAGGTCTATCTGACGATATCACGGGCTGGAACGGAGATAAGTCCACTGCCTCGAAGGGCAATCAACGCATCTGATTTGACAACTGGTAAGACGGCCTCCTTCCCTACGATGACAACTGTCTGATCTTTCTAGCTTTAATTGATAGGAGTATCTGTCTAGGCCACAGTCCTGGGTTTCGACGAAGAGATGTAGAAAGGGCCGTTAACTCGATTCCCTATGCAGATTGAAGGAAGGAGCGATGGATGTCTCTACTATATTACGAGGAAAGAGCGACCAACCATAATGCACCTGCCTTATGCAGAGGATACGCATTGCAACTTGAGGAAACTGCGATGGACAGCTGGGAACTGCACAATTTCCAATGACCAAATATATTTCGAATATGCTACTGCTGCTCGTATTGATACACCAGACAGGCTTCTTGCGTGTCAGACCCCTTCGCAGCAACGGCCTTGCAAGTCAGAAACAGCCCATCTCCGATACTCTCCACAGCCCAGACCTAGAACATATCAGCGGTTATATTCCGATTTGCATCAGTAGAAGCTCACCTGCTCAGCCGACCACCCACCATCAGGGCACCGGATAAAGTCCTGCACGAATGCCTTCTCACTCGAATCTTCTCCCCCACCCCCAGGAACTGAAACAGCAGTACCAAGGTAGGACTCGATTTCCTCCCTCTTACCAGCTGTCGTCTGGATATCAAGAACTGGCTTCACTTGCCCACCCGCATCTCGGACTCCTCTCACAAAACGACTGCGGACAATAATTGCAGCGCCCGACACCGCGTCAACCTGCTTGTGCTCCGTCCAGTCCAATGCCGTAGTCTGCTCAACCCCAGGGAAGATGCTACGGAGACCCTGCTGTATCATGAGACGTGTAACTGGCTCGCCGCCGTCCTGTGGCTCTGTAGTCTGCTTGATTTTGAGCGTTATGGTTCCAGATGTCACGGCTTTCCGTCTTATCCAGCCGATGCCTTGCTATGTGTGGTCAGTCGGGAGTTTATCGTGGATGAACTAGAGGCAGTGTCTACCAGTTTAAGCGCTGCGTCCATGTTTTTTGTCTTGGATTTGTCCTGCCAATATTAGATGTAGAACCGATTACCTGGATATGGACTCACCACCACCCAGTCCCCTGTTAGGTTCTGGATGTTTAGATCAGTTGGCGCGACCATTGTGATTATTTTGAATATGGAGTGCCAATAATTGACTCCGACGGCATGGAGTTTATTTTATACTCTGATCGGCACATGGGCATACCGAGGCCCTAAGCTGAAACGACAGCGACCACTGCCGAATTTTCGAGTCCCGCAACGTTTTGATTCTGTTTCATGCACTATTGAAGTATTGTTCTCTTGTTGCAGGTTCATCGGCGTGTCTTATATTATATATTTGTATATATATTTTGACTATTAATTTATGTCATATCCATGGCAAGTATGGAGATCACCACTTTGGTATCGTCGCCGAAAACGCGGGCTCAAACTTCCTCATATAAGTCGTATCATCTCTCTTCCGAATGCCACAGTCCAGATACTGTTTATGCAAACGAGCCAGTCTCTCCCGATCAAGTTCAATCCCCAGCCCCGGCGCCGTCGGCACCACAACCCCCCCATCCACCCACCTCAACGCCCCATCAAGAACCACATCCTCATCCTGCCTCTTCCACGGCCAATGCGTATCGCACGCATAATCCAAATTCGGTGTCGCAGCCGCCAAATGCGTCATAGCGGCCAGCGAAATCCCTAAGTGGCTGTTGCTGTGCATGGACAGACGCATCCCCCACGTCGCACAGATGCCCGCCAGCGTCTGGGACTTGCGCAGCCCGCCCCAGAAATGATGGTCCGAGAGCACGACCTGCACCGCGTCCTGCGCAATCGAAGGCGGGAGGTGGCTGAACGCTACAACAGCCATGTTCGTGGCAAGCGGCATAGATGCCTCGGCCGCCACGGCGGCCATGCCTTCGATCTCGGGTGCCGGGTCTTCCAAGTACTCGACTATACCCTCGAGTTCCTGCGCGACCCATTTCGAGGTCTCGACTGTCCAGGCGGCGTTTGGGTCAAGGCGGAGCGGGATGGAAGGGAATGCGGCGTGTAGGGCTTTGATGGCGGCGACTTCTTGGGCCGGTGGGAAGACGCCGCCCTTGAGTTTTATTGCGCTGAAGCCGTACTCGGATATGATTTTGCGGGCTTGCGCGACCAGGCCGTCGGGGGTTAGGGCTGCGCCGTATTCGTCGTCTGGCTGGCCCGGGTGCCCTGCCCATTTGTAGAAGAGGTATGCGGAGTATTGCACGTTGTCGCGGACGCGGCCGCCTAAGAGTTCGGAGACGGGGATGCCGGCGAGTTTGCCTTGGATGTCGAGGCAGGCGACTTCGAAGGGGGAGAAGACTTTATCGGCGACGGAGGCTGTGGTGACCATGCCGGCCATGCCGTCGCCGCCGCTGGTGGTGGTTGTGTCGAGACTGCTGGCGCATATTTGGTAGATGGCGTTTGTGTTGTAGACTGAGAGCGATGAGGCGGCTTTGATCTGGTCTGCGGCTTTCTGGAGGCGCTCGAGGTGTGCGGAGTCGCCGTAGGACTCGCCCAGGCCGTAGGTGGTGTCTGTGATGACTTCGATTATACTCCTTAGGGCGAATGGCTCGTGCACGCCGACGCTGTTTAGCAGCGGCATGTCGTGGAACGCCACCGGGGTGATGATGATGTCTTTGATATCCGCCATTGGTGACAATTGGGTTGATTGGTTGAACTTGATTGACCAGATGCAGGGTGGTTGGCATATCGGAAAAGAGTCGGCAGTGTATATAACCTCTTTGGCTCCGGAGAAGATTCCGACTCCCCAGCAGGGTGCTATGGATAAAAGGCCGGTTGTTGCGGGGAAGCTGGGGACATGACTCGGATAAGACTCCACGCGCAGCCTTTTCCGAACGATCACCAGCAGCGGAGGCCGTATCCGTGTGTCGCAGGGGGCTGGTTGGCTGCTTATCCGCCCACCCACTGCACAGCCCGCGGTCAAGCACTGGGGAGCCAACCCCGGTCTTGGAGGTTAGACTGAAAATCTGGGGAAAGCTGTATCATATGGTGCAAGCGATCAGCATTTCCGACGGCGGGGGGGTATATAGCCCGTGTCCCAGCAACAGCTGAACGGCGACCCTCTCCTGCAGCCAAGTTCTTTTCTCTCCGAGTGACAGATACAGCATTGCTTGACTGAAAATGGCGCACAGGGACTCGGTTGGCAAGGCCGATGTCGAGAAGGGTGTTGACGAGAAGGCTGCTCACATCGAAAGCCCTGTTACGGAGATTGGCACCTTTCGTGTCGTGGGCTTGAGTGCTGAAGATGCGGAATTCTACAGGAACTATCCAGAGGAGAAGCGGAAGAAGGTCTTTCACAAGGTGAGCTTTCTCGATACTGGCAATGTGTATACCAGCTAACATCCCCAGGTCGATGTCCGACTAGTCCCCATGCTGGCCCTGCTCTATCTATGCAGTCACATCGACCGTGCCAACATCGGCAACGCAAAGATCGAAGGCATGATTGACGACCTAGGAATGACCGGCGTGCAGTACAACACCGTCCTCTCCATCTTCTTCATCCCCTATGTTCTCTTTGAAGTCCCCAGCAACGTCCTGCTCAAGAAATTCAAGCGCCCATCAACCTACCTGGGCATCCTCGTCCTCTCCTGGGGCATCATCATGACCTGCACCGGCCTGGTCAACAACTACGGCAGTCTGATGGTCGTGCGCGTTCTCCTGGGTATCTTCGAAGCCGGGTTCTTCCCTGGTGCCATCTACCTCTGCTCCTACTGGTACATGCCCAAAGACCTCGCGCTGCGGATTTCCTACTTCTACTGCGCTAGTGCCCTCTCAGGCGCCTTTTCAGGTCTGCTGGCCGCAGCAATTGCCGAAATGGACGGCATCGGTGGCTATGAGGGTTGGCGATGGATCTTCATCCTCGAGGGTCTAGCCACAGTCGTCCTAGGCGTTGCCTGTTTTTTCCTCCTCATCGACACCCCGGCCCTGTCCACGCGGTGGCTCGAGCCAGACGAGATCCGGTACCTGGAGCTGTCCATGTTCATCAAGCAGGGTGGACGCACCGAGCACGACACTGGCTTCAAATGGCGCGACTTGATGATGGTCCTTACGAACTGGCGCGTCTACATGCAGGCCTGGTTCCTGTTTGCCCAATCGGCTCTTTCATACGGTACGCCCCCTTTACACTGCAAATGCTCTTTACAGCTGTGCTAATGACTTCCAGGAACCAAGTTCACTCTCCCCACAATCACCAAGTCCATGGGCTTCAGCGACACAAACGCCCAGCTGACATCTGCACCGCCCTACGTCGCCGCTGCAATCTCCGCTATTGTCTTCGCCCGCCTCTCAGACCACTTCTACTGGCGAATGCCGTTCGTCATCGTCCCCATGTTAATCGTCATAGTCGCCTACTCGATCATCATCTCGCTAAAGGGCGAGCTCCAAGCCAACATGGGCGTAGCATATTTCGCCGTCGTCCTGGCCGTCATCGGTATCTACCCGATCCAAGCGGCCGCTGCGTCCTGGAACGCGAACAACATTGCCCCTGCGGCGCGGAGAGCAATTGGCATTGCGCTGATGAACTGTGTTGGTAATGTCGGTGGGATTCTGGGGAGTTTCATGTATCTTGAGTCGGAGAGTCCGAAGTACTACACGGGCTTTGGGATTAGTATTGCGCTGGCGGGTGTCGGTATTATTGTTGCGGCGTTGTTGGAGTGGAGCTATAAGATTGCGAATAACAGGAAGGCAGCACTGGAAGGTGAAGCCAGGGTGAGATATACGGAGGAGGAGCTGTTTGATATGGGTGATCGGTCGCCGTTGTTCAAGCATGTTTTGTAGGTGATTTTACGGGATGAGGGAATGGCAGATTGATAGGTTAGGTAGTGGACAGAATGGATAATGAATATATGAATTGATATGATATCGTATATATGCACTGAACTAAGTTGGTATTGTTAGACTTGGGCTCTTTGTGAAGTGTAAGTTAGGGCTTGATCTGTATAGGCTGCACTGAGTTTTAACGGTTAATGAACCTGAATTGATTATAATGAATTGAATGCTCTACAATCTAACTACAAACAATTCTAGTAAAATATCTACTACAGAGTGTCCTCAACACTCGCCAACCCCGCCGTCAGCTCCATCACCGCAATCTTCCCCTTATCATCCAACTCCGTATACGGCCTCCTGGGCTTCAACTTGTCCAGCGCCGACTCAATGCCAGCCTTCTTCGCCGTCGTAATCGCCGCCGCATACTTGACACTCGCAATCCCAGCTTTACACGGCTGCTCCGCCAGCGCCGCCTTCCTATGCAACTCCATCGCCTCCTCCACCTTCCCACCCCGATAAAGCTCATAAATCCGCACAATAGTCTTGGGAAAGACATTCGCAAAGCCCGCAATCGTACCCACCGCACCAGCAGCAAGCCCCCCAACAAGAAAATCACTCTGCCCCGCAAACGCCGCAAAGGAATCTGCCGGAAACTCCGCAGACAGACGCACAATCTTCGCCACAGATCCACAAGTCAGTTTCACGCCCACAATCTTACCCGGAAACTTCTTCGCCAGGGCCGCAATCGTCGCAGAATCAAGGTCAATCCCGTTACAAACGGCGGGGAAATTATAAATGACAATCGGCAGGACACTTTCCCGCGCGATGTCCTCGAAAAACCCCCTCACCACGGCCGGCGTTGTCTGTTTCCCGAAGTATGCGGGCGGTAGGAGAAGCGCGTAGTCGGCCCCTGCGTCTGCGGCGTCGGATATGAATTCGAGGACTTGCTTCGTGCCGTGTCCTGAGACGCCGGCCATGATGGGGAAGGAGTCGCCGACGCTCTGGCGGGCGGTGGTGAGGAGGGTCTTGCGCTCTTCGCGGGTGAGGAGGAAGGTCTCGCTGTTTGTGCCGAGGACGACCAGACCTGCCAGGCCGGTTTTGGAGAGGTAGCTGTAGTATTGCGACTGCGAGGGGAGGTCGAGGGTGTCGGTTGCGTGGTCGAAGAAGGTGATTGTTGGGGCCCAGACGCCGCTGGGGGGGACTTTGGGTTGGGGCATTGTATTGGATTTTGTTACTTAGAAGGAACAGTAATTGGATAGTACAAGTTGATTTTCGTCTTCTTTGGTTGGAGAGGGTATATGCTCTATATGTGACATTCAAGTGCCTGGATGAGACTGTCTACTGGATATCCGTTGTCACGCGAAGAGACCCGCTGATTGCGACGGCCCGACCGAGGTCTCCAACATTAGTCCTGGAGTCTTCAAGTTGCCGTATGAAGATTCCGCGGAATTAGGAAAATAAAATGGAGACATCGCAGCGGAGCGGATGAAGTCAACGGATAATCAGCGTGCATTTCCGCTGACGGAGGTGGATAATCATGGCCATATCGGGAAGACGACTATACTGGTTGAATGGTCACCTTATTCTCACAGGACAGAACGAAATTCTCATGATTAAAAGATGAAGACACATTTAACGAGGTGTTCATCATTCTAGACTATGTAGTATGTTGTACATTCTTATATTGTTGGATAGATTATAGTATGGCAGTTTGTTCTTGAATTTATTTTTATAATGTTACTCTATTGCAGTTATTATTGCATTTATGTGATCAACCCCTCCGATGCATGATCGTAGCACTGGCCTGGTGGTTAGGGAAGAGCAGAGTGTCTGCTACGACTACATTCTCCCTCCTGCCAGCAGTAAACACAATAACCTCTGCAATATCATCCGGTGTCAACGGCTCACAGCCGCTAAACTCAGTCAGCTTCAACATACAAATAGCCTGATAGTTCAGGAACTCACGCATAAACGGCATCCGCCTTGCTCTTATCCCCATAGAACCTGACAACCGAGAACTCAGTCTCCACCTGTCCAGGATCAATCGTGATAACCCTGACTCTCTTCGAAATCAGCTCCTTGCGCAAAGCCTCTGTGAAGGATCGCACGGCAGCCTTGGTGGCACAGTATATCCCGCCCCCGACATACGGCTCCCGTCCAGCAATGGAGCCAATGTTGATGATGTCTCCAGAGCCCTCGCCGTTGTTGCGCTTTAGCATACTCGGGAGAATCGCTTGGGTGACGTTGATGAGACCCGTTACGTTTGTCGCGAACATGACGTTGATGTCTTCCTCTGCGATTTCGGGGGCTTTGGCGACGCCTTTGACGAGGCCGCTGTTAAGGTTAGCTGCATCCGTATGTTTAGAGTGAGAGAGACGCACGCATTGTTAACTAGAACATCGACTTCCTTGAATTCCGCAGGGAGGCTGTCTAATAGTCCTCGCACTTCCTCTGGATTGCTGACATCGAGCTGCACGGGATGGACCTTGACTCCGGGGAATTCCTTTGTGATACTGGTCGCGAGTTCCTGCAAACGGTCGATTCGGCGCGCTGTAAGGATCAATTTGAGGTTTTGGGGAGCGGTGCGTGCGAATTCGAGAGCTGTGGAGCGTCCAATGCCGGAGGAGGCGCCGGTGATGAGGACGGTCTTGCCTTCGAGGCGTTTCGATACGGAGGACATGATTAATTAGATCTGAGGTTTGTCTTTAGAAGCCGTCTCCTTCGTAAGGATCTCCTTCGTAGAGACATTGGGTTCATATAATTGCTACTGGAGATTCACTCTGACTTCACTTCCACCATCTTTTCCGTCCAGACGGATGAGTGTCGATCACGACGGAGTTGCTCCAGGATCTGGAAGCAGGAGGACAAGCATGGACAGCATGCTCGGAAGGACACAACTTTTACTGGAGGAACCATTCGAGCGAAGGATTGTTGCGAGTCATGAGAGACGGTGACGGAAAAGCAGCTGCCACCCCCGCATTTCGGATGCTTTTCCGTCAGCCATTTCCGCATATATTCATTGCTCTTCCGTCCCTCCACGGCCACGCTGTCACCCCCACAGCCAAGATGCCACAGCAGCAAGCGTTGCGGAAGCGGAAAAGCAATGGCGAACGAGTGAGGGTTACTCGGGCTTGTGATCGGTGCAAACGGTACGACCTTGGTAGTTAACTGTATGTCAGTATACTAAGACGAGCAGGAGGAAGATCAAATGCAACAACTCGCAGCCCTGCCAGTTTTGCGTTCGCGCAAAAGCTCGCTGTACTTTTGACTCTTCATACGCCAGAGGCAGGAAGTTCCTCATTCCCGGCTATGGCGATGAACATGGCAGCCCTGCCAGACAGGGCTACTCGGCCATTCTACCCAGCCCAGCGACGTCTCAGGAGAGTGTGCCTTCAGCCCTAGGTCATGATCAGGTTGTTCCTGTAGCTTCGTCGCGCAATTCACCAGAGCCGTCCCAGACTGACCTGCAGGGCCACTATATCGGGCCTGCCTCTGGGGTCTCGTTCCTGCTGAGGGTTCAGAAGCGGCTGCACCAGGCCATTTCCTTTTCCCAGCCCAGTAGCATTTTTACATTTGGCGATGCCCCCCTACATCTCCCTGAATTCGACCCTTCATTCTGCATGATGCTGCCGAGGGACGATGCCCAGCGCCTGATAGAGCGGTATTTCGACTTTGCCATGCCGACGTACCGGTTCCTCCATAGACCGACTATCCAGGAATGGTTCAATGAGTTCTATGATACACTAGGAGTCATGCGCGATGCCCACAGCGCCCCCGCCAAAGTCGCTCTGCTCTTCATGGTCTTTTCCCTGGCGAGGGTCTACATGCCAGACAACGACAGGCCGGGTCCACCAGACCTGAGGTTCGTCTACTTCTATATCTACATCTCGAACTAAATGCTAACAGAGTAGTGCCCGGTACTATCTTGCAGCTGAGCACCAGCTCTCCAAAGAAAAGGGTTCTATCCGGTTGACCAGTGTCCAAGCACGCCTCACACAGTGCTACTACCTCCTCACGCAGTCGCGCATCAACCACTGCTGGAGTCTCTTCGGCACAGTCTCGCATCTCGCCCTCGCCATCGGCCTGAACAGAAACCGCCGCCCAGATCCAACCGCCGGCCTCAGCCAGATCGAAGCTGAATGCCGCCGTCGCACATTCTGGTGCGCTTATACACTAGACGCCTACCTCAGTGCAGCCCTAGGCCGTCCCAGGTCCTTCCACGACGACGACGTCGACACCGAACTCCCCGCCTGCGTCGACGACGACCAGATCCTCACCCTGCCGCAAAACAACAACACGACAACCCTAACACCCCCGCGAAACCGCACACTGACAACTATGCTCGCCCCGCTGGCACACATGAAAATCGCCCAGATCATCAGCCGCATCCTGCGTGACCTGTACTCCATAAAGCCCGTCTCCGACGCCCGGCGCGCCGCAGCCGTCTCCTCCATCTCAAGGGACCTGAGGACGTGGCGCACAGATCTAGCCTGGTTCCTCGACGCCGACGTGCTCAGTGCATCGCTGATAATGCCGATTTTCCAACGCCAGCGGAATGTGCTGAATCTGACGTACTGGCATTCTGTTATACTCACGCATCGCCCGTTTGTGCTGAGTAATTTTGCGCGCCTGTCGCAGGGTCGTGCACCCTCAGTATCGTCCAACTCGCAGACGGAGGAGAGTACTAAGCAGTGTCTTCAGGCGGCCATGAAGACCGTTGCGATCATTGATGAGATTACGCAGAATCGGCAGCTGTTTCGTGCGCTTTGGGTTCGTCTCCTCCATATACCTAGGCCATCACTAAGATAAACGATATACTAACCATCCGGCAGATAACATCCTACTTCGCATTCAACGCGACAACAATGCTGTATATATACGTGATCCAGAACCGTACCTACCCGGCACACGTCTACAGCGCGTACTTTGCTGCCGCGACGCGCTGCCAGTCGCATCTTTCGGCCATTGCTGAGAAGGGGTCTCTCTCGGAGCGGTATTGTCTTGTGCTGGAGGAGTTGAGGGTTGAAGCTACACGGCAGACTACTCCTGCTGCAGCAGCTGAGTCTAGTCAGTTCCAGCCTACGGATAATGCCGATACAAACACGTACCAGATCTCTGTCCCGGTTCTGTCGCTGCAACAAGGACAAGGACAAGGACATGACGAGAGTCCGCATACCATTGGGACGGGGTATACAGATTCACTCGATGGCGGTGGTGGGATAGATTTCAGCACGGACGATGCCAATGCTATGGCCGGGCTAGGGCTTTCGGTGTCGGATTGTTCGGGCTGGGGACAGTTCACGTCGATGGTTTCGTGCGGGCTAGGGAATATGGATTTGTTCTGGGGGGATGAGATGAGGTTTTGAACTCTACCACTGGATATGTAGTTTAACTCTAGGTATAGGTTTATGTATAATGCGAGCAGAGCTCGAGGTTCATTCATTAAGTGCGTATAACGGGTATAGACATGGGCATTGGTTGGGTATATGTATATAATGATCAGAATCCAAGAAAACAAGAAAAAAAAAACAAGACGCTTCCGAGTCGAACATATTGCGTTGTTATAAAATATATCGTCCAATATTAAAGTCGTTATAGCCAGCTCAGTACCTCACCGGGTGGGTATCGTTATACTGCTGATTCGGCTGGTATCCCCCGTACTGAGTACTCTGACTCTGCTGGTACCCATTCGCCCCATAGCTCAAACGCGAGTCATATCCATGGTTCAGGTTATAAGTCGGCTGCCCCTGGGGAGGCGGCACCGCTGTCGGATTCATACTGGTAGGGCGCGCGTTAGCAGCTCCAGCCTGAGAGCGGTAGCTGGCAACCTGGAGGACCGCATAGAACGCGACAAAGTAGAAGAACCGGGCTAAGAAGCCACCAGCCTGCTGGCCGTGGATATAGCTCTTTTCGCTCGCGGTCGAGGATATTCTTGAAAAGAAGTACGCGGATTGGATGTAAGTCCCGAGAAAGGCTGCGGAGTAGCCGAGTGCAGAGAGGGCAAGGACGGGGACCCATTTTGAGATAGTCTACAGGAAAGATTGTTAGAAATGGACTGAGGGTAGCTTGTAGAGGGAACGTACTCCTTTGCGGAGATATGCCGGGGCGCTGAAGAGCGCCTTCAGCATGGACGCTGACGCAACGAGAAGGCCGGCGACGGCGAGAGCATAGTATGTTGTCTGGACACCTCGCAACGGAATCTTGAGATCATAGATCTTGGAATAGTCGCTGTCGTCCGAATACGAGTAGTGGTACATGGCCGTGCTGATGGATAGCACCGCGACGAGGAGAACTCCCAACAGGGCAGCCCACACGGCCTGGAGCGTGAGGATAGCCGGCTGGACGCGGGAAAATTCGCTCTGAAGTTTGCGGCAGACCGTTGTCAGGATAAAGGCAGTCAGGATGAACACTGAGGCATTATCTATCCAGTCGAAGATGATGATGGCCACGTAACTGTAGTAGCCCCCGGTGCCGCATTCGGCCAGCGTTGTGACGATGATATAGATGAGTTGAGCCCTGCATGCAATTAGAAATTGTTGTTTATGTTAATAACAGTGGGATGGCGGCTTACCCAAAGGCGAAGAAGATGGAGAAGCTCAGGAAGACGCTGCCAACGACAGGACTGCCTTGTTTCTTGCTCAGACCAAAGCGCTTTGTGGCAACGAAGAAGAGTACCACAGCAACGACAAACCACAGTGCAGCAAAGGCAATGTTGACTCTGGACTGTTCGTCCGAAAAGGCGGTGCTACTGCATGATATGCTCGAGCTGCTGTAATAGCCACCACCGCCACCGCGTCGAGGAGCCATGTTGAGTTGGGGAGGTGAAGCTGAAATTTGGTATTCCTCACTGAGAGTGCAGAATTTGGATAAATAAAAACAGAAGAACTGGCAAAAGGAATAGGGGGCGAAGGCGTTCAAATATCCCCTGCGGCTCTGGGACCCTTGCCAACAACACGATTGCGCCCGCCAGTCACGCAGTGGCACTGCCTCGACGCCCGATGATGGCCATTTGCTGGGTTCAGCCTCAAAGTCGACAACACGAATCAACACGAGGGCGCGAGCTCCACTGCCAGTGCTGTGGGCTCTGGGCGTCTAAAATACGAGCCCACAGCGAATGGCAGTACGAGAGCTCTGCAGCTCGCACACACCAAGCCGCAACTCAAGTCACATTAGGATAGACAGATTAAAATAGAAGCAGTTCAAAAGTCAGAAGGAAGAACTCAGTCGGAACTCAGGGGCTACGGGTTAAGGTGCTGACTGCGATGGAGGCATTCTTCCTTTAGAAGAATATTAATGTGCTGACTTTGCGAGCGCCGCAGCTGACTCACTGTGAAGACTTAGAATTAAGACTTATTCCACGCTAAATGGACTATTGTCTTAGCTGGCAAGGCTGAGTCGAGACCACACACTTCAGCCTTGGGGCCAAAAGGGGCTGTGCACTGCACGACGGCCTCGAAGATGAATCACCAGAAGGAAATAAATGGAGCTGCAACAAGAAGGCCGGTATCGCATTGGACATCGTCATTATGGAAGAAGTTTGTTGATCTACTCGGACTACAAGTGGTTGAAATTGTCAAGGATATATGTGATTCCTGCCAGTCTCTATATCTCGCTGAATAGATAACTAGCTATCCAAAGAATCAACTCCATCTGATTTTAAATGTTTCTTTTGCCTGTTAACAGTTTCATAGCCATCATAAAAGAAGTAGTGGATAAATGAAGTAGAGTCAACAAGTCTTGATCTTCTTCGAGACGCCCGACTCGCCCACACCATCTTCACCATCGGGGAGCCCTCGCTTTGCTGTGTCTTCAATGTATTCGGTCTTAATTTGTGTGATATCGGTATCTGGAATTGCCTCTTCCTTAGCTGCGGTTTCGTAGGGGGTGTCAATGGCAGTGTTTTTGCTCTCTACGCCCCGGGAAGCATCCGGCCCTGCTGCATCTTTGCTTGCATCGTCGACTTGACTGTGCGTCTCCCCAACCGAAACTTGGTCATCGGTGCCTTGCTGAGCATCCTGCTCTGCTGCATCTTTGGCCGTGTCCTGGGCCGACTTGGTGGCATCGTCTGCTGGAACCGACTTGGCGTCCTATATTGTATTAGTATGTAGGTCTAGTATATTAAGAACAATCGCACGTACAGGAATGTCTTTCGAATCTTCAACCTTCACCGCAGTGCCCGATGACCCATCCAAACCACCTGAAGCATCACCAGCAGTAGAATCCGTAGAATCCGTATGAAAAACCGGAGGCGTAGCACGCTTCACCCTAGGCTTCGTCTTAGGAACCTTAACCCACCAAATCCACTTCAGCAATTTCCACGCATGAAACACATCATACGCATCAAACGACATAATAACTTCCCCCGTAGTCTGAGACACCGACGACACGCTCGACCCCGGGAATAGCGCTGGCTTCTCCCTGATAAGCCTCGTGATATACCACAGCGCCGTAAGATGCGGCAGATTCATGTTATTAACCTCCGCCTTCCCCTGCGCGGGAAGCTGGCTCTGGTTCTGCTGGAAAACCTGGCTGCTGAACGCGGGGTGTTTATCGTTGGCGAGGATAGGGTGGAAGGCTTGGTTAGAGGCGAGATTCATGAGTTTGGTATGGGTGAGCCCGCGGAGGTTTGTTGGGAAGTTCTTGCGCTCGCCGGCCCAGACATCGAAGATGGGCTTGGTGCTTGGATCTTTTTGGGTTAGGTCCCAGAGTTCTTGTGTTGTTGGGAAGTCGAATACACCGGCGAGGGCAGAGAGGTTCGTTTGGAGGCTTTCGGGGAAGGCGTGGTCGTATTCTATGCCGGGGATGTTGCATGGTTTGGTGGTGGGGGTACTGGGTTTGGAAGACATTTTGGTTATAGAGATTTTCTGTTGTCGTTAGTTGGTAGTGGCTAGGAGGAAGGTTGGTCTTACTTGGGTTGAAATAATAGTTGGGACTGAAAGTAGAGAGTTGAAAGTAGGGAGTTGGAAGTAGAGAAGGGAAGAAGGAAAGAAAAAGTAGGCAGTGGTAGAACTTGTAGTATTGTAGAAGTTGAAGTAAGTGTTTGAAGTGGTGAGGAAGGAAGAAGAACTCTAGATTGGACTTTATACTAGAAATAGTGGATGGAGGCAGAGAAGAGATGAGAGAACGGTAGTTAGGTAAAGAGGAGAGGCGAGAGAAAGAAGAAAGCAGATATAGGTATAATAAGACGAGGCAGTAGAGAAGGCAGTAGAAAGTGAGGCTTCTCTAAGGAATGAAAGTGTATACAATCTCACTGTAAGAAGAGATATCAACTAATAACCAAGTCTAGTAATGTGAAGCAGTTGTAAGGCCAAATGGTCTCAGTATAGACCTCAGAACGGGGAAGTCAGGTTGACAACCGGATCATTGTCTACTATTCTGATACATACTGAAGGGTGAAAAGCGACAAATTATGACGGATATAGCTGGACTTGCCTGGCAGGCCATTTGGTGCTTTGGCAGCGAACCAACTTCCAGGAATTCATGCTGGACGTGCTAAACCCTAGACCGAACCGGACGCTTTGGTATGCTCCAACTGAGACATAAACTAGAAAGAATTGCTTCGTAGCTATTCCTGCTCACAAAGGAGAAGAAAGGAACAGGCGCAACATGCCAGCCCCTCCATTCGGAGGCAAGTCCCGGCTAAAACGACCCTACGGTAGTGGTACTTTTTACTGGAGGTGCTTTGAAAGGTTTTCGCTCTGTCGTCCGCCATCAGATACAAAGAGACACCTAGAGGAGACGGAAAGGGTTATAATTTGGCTCAGGCCGGAGGATAAGTTCCGAACAAAAGAGAAATGAAACAAAACAGATTTGCCCTGTCTGGGATAGTTGGGAGTCCTTTGTGCCTTCGGGTATTTATGGAAACCTAATCTGGTTGAGTGATACGTATTTAAGACGCTCGAAGCCATTAATCCAAATTATTCTTCATACTTTACACATATTGATATAAGCCACCAACTCTTCCACTGCAAGCTATTAAGCTTCAACCACTACCACTACAAACACAATAATGTCCGACAACAACAAACTATTATACGTCAGACACCCGATCTCGGGTACCATACGCCTAATCCAACGCCAGGGCAGCTCCAATGAACTCGTCATCATCAAAGTGGACGAGGAGACGATCGAGAAGATTGTCAGGGCTGCGGAATGCACGCTGTTCGTTTCCGGAGATTTGGAGCTCAACTCTAGTGCCTATTCTGTAATGAGCAAGTCGCCTGACTTCTTTCATTACCGGGATGGATTGAAAGAGCCCAAGGACTGGAAGTCCGGGGACAAAGTCAAGATCGAAACTGACGTTACTGTCCGGTACGGGATGCATAATGGGTCAGTAGCGATGGTCAAGGGGATCTCGGAAGGTCGTCCCACTCATGAGGGTTTTAAGGAGGGTGTCTAGTGTGCTTTTTTGCTATCTGTATGTACGGGGGACTAGAGAAATGCTGTTGTTACTTCCTAGTACTTTACACTCTTAAATTATAAAGGGCCCTGCAATAGCATGAAAGAGAACTACTAAAAGTAGCTAAATGTTATATCAAAACTACACGAGACTCGGTCATTTGTGTATCGATGCATCCACACGTTGAACATGACCAATATATAAGGAGGCTAATATCAGATAGTTTTATAGAAAGGGCAATTCCATCCGCTTCAACAGCACAATTAACGAGCAGAACATAACAGATAAAATAGCAGTAACATCTAAACCACAGAAACACCCTTAACAAACGCCATATCATGTCTCAGCGAACACTCAACCTCCAGCCCACTCTGCATCGTAACTTCATCACCGGTCCTCAAATTCTTCCTCTTATCCCCACCCTTCCAAAACTCTATTTCAGGAGGAACATGGACAACTATGTCCTCAGCCGCCGGGTAGACATACCCACCACTCTTTGGTAGATACCCCTTTAGAACTAACTGCGACTTCACCTCCTGTTTGAGCCTTTGGATTGTCGGGTTATCTGCACGGATTCTGAAATGGACGCCGAGGTGACTTTCTATGGGCCCGAGGAAGGTGCCTGCGAAGGATAGCCAGATGGCTACTGTTTGGCAGTTAGACATTGTTGTTTTGAAACCTTTGGTGCGGATATGATTGTATGATTATTGGAAATTCAAGATCTCGTTGAACGGGGGTGTTCTATAAATCTATAGACGCGAAGGAATTGCCTCCTTTTTACAGCATTTATCTGTCTTAAAGAGCGTCTTTGTTGTTTGAGAATGTCAAGCCAACAATGGAGTTTCAAATATTTTGAATACGGATAAAAATGAATGTAATTTTAAGGATAAAGACAACAGAATAAACACTATTTATAATTTCGTATAACCCCTTTGAATACCTAAAATAGATTACTTCTTATACCCCGTCCAAACACGGTAATTCCTACTAGCATCACAATCAAAGCACTGAGCACAGGCATGTCACGAGAGGAGTCGAAGCTAACCCTCGATACCTACCTATGGGGCACCATACTCGGCATGGAACTCGTGGATGGAAAAATCACCTTCCGTCTAAGTAGCTACACAATAAAGAGGATACTTGATAGTGTGAAGTGGGAGCTCATCTGCTGTGGTTATTTGCCCGAGGATGGATCCGTGTACACTGCCACTAAGGATATGATTACAGATGTTTTGGCTTCGCCCAAGTGTATTGTGATGTGGGAGGTCGGGGATAAAGTCAGGCTGACCGCTGACTGGGAGGTGAGGTACATGCTCGGTGACGGAGGGGAGGTGATTATTCAGGGTATCTACTAGTTAGTTTGGTGGTTATTAATTGAATGTGTTGCTGATGAGGATCGACTTGGTTCTTGATTACAGTGGGTACGATGTAGGGCCTAGGGGTGCAGTCAAAATATCTTGTTTTAAAGCTACCTGAAATACATAGGAAGTGCTTCCAGCAGACCGTAGATAGTCGGTCTAGCAAGGGAAAGTACACTTGGTGGTGGCTCCATCGCCAGCAATGCCAGCCCAGTCGTCCTTCTCGCAACCGTCCTCGTTGAAGTCGCGGTGCTCGGCGGCGTAGTCCATGTATCCATCGGAGAAGTCGGAGTTTGTGTGGACGCTGTAAAACCATTAGCATCTAGCGCTACTCATCTTCCATTTGCTGCTATGAACGAAAGGGCAGTGCAGTGCAATATAATAGTGCAATTTCACATACCAAATGGTGTTTGCAAGCTTCGACGGGTAGCAACGAGAGTCGCTGACTTCGTTGCAGGCCTCCGAGAGAACCTCTGTCTCGCCGTTGCCGTAGTCGACTTCGGCGCTGCAGGTGTGGGTGTTCTCACCTCCGGCGAAGGGGTTCTAGGTATAACCAGTTAATTCAAGCTACCAAGAAAATGGAACATAAACCGGGGCATGTGTACCTGAGTTCGGGTGAAGCTCAAGGAAAAAGAGCAGTCAGCGAGGACGCTGGGGGCAAGAGCCATGATGGCAGCGAAGATGGGGATTTGCTTGGAGAGGAACATTTTGATAAGGCTTTGGAGATTGTTTCGAGTGATTGTCTGTCTGATTGACTGAATCAAGGGGGTTCCGATGACTTCTTTATACCTCAAGGCGTCTTATATTTACACCCCAATATCATTTCTCAGGAACGGAACTTGGCCGAGGGCAATCAATCATATTCCTTAGTCTTCAACAGCTAGGCAGGCCATAATCGTTGCATTATTCGAGTAAGGATCGCAGGCCAGGATATTCCTTGACTTGTTGCCTCCAGGCTGATGCCCAATGCTTTGCTCCAAGCCCCCAATCATCATCCAACTCCCTGGAGCGTGGCTGAAGGATCCCGGAGGCACCACATCCGGGCGATCCATGGCCATCCCAACGGCCCCCAAAGACGGCCAATACAACGGTGTCAGTGATTTGATAGATCAGTCTGCCAAGATGATCAACAGTGAGACCGATAGCAGACTGCAGAAAAACCACCAAGAAGCCAAGGCTGGTGCCACATGAACCGGCTCTAAGCAGGGCTCTCGCCGGTTCTGGCCGACAACAGACGGTCAACCTGCCAGGTCCCCGTGAGTCTGTGACTCTGCAAAGGATGCATAGTGGACCCCACTACCACGAGGCTAAGGAAACGCTCCCAAACTTGCAATCTTCCAATCCCCAGACTCAGCCGCCGCTCGGGATCGCCGGGAATGGGCTCCTCGTGCCTGTGCAGCGGGGGAGTGGAGATGTGGCGTCTTGTTCAGGAACCAGTTGTGGTATACAGCTCGCAACTTAACAGCACTCCATGAAGACTTACTCGGTTAGCCCCGATTTCCGAGTCAAGACGTCCCAGTCGCGCGGTGGTTGAGGAAACCTGTACAGGCCTTCATTTGTTTCTGGATAACTCCGCCGCCGTCAGGTGATCTGTATGACGACATGGGGAGGAGGAACTCAACCTTCAAGCCGGAGCGAGCTCAACGTGCATCCATCTCCCACTCGTCTTATCCCCGAGTCCCCGAAGCACTGGCTGTTGATATTGGGACCGGGCTCCACTGCCAGTCGAAATGGCATCCTTCAGGCTGATGTCTCTGCCCCCCGAGCTTCACATCCTGATATCCTCCCACCTCGAATTCCCAGACTACGTCAACCTAAAACGCAGCTGCGTCTACTTCTACAATCTAATCCCAGACCTAACTCACGCTGAGCTTCTCGAAGCAGAAACAACCGAGTTTGCTGTCTCGAAGGATCTCTATGCATGTCGCTACTGCCGGCGTCTCCGACCGGCCCAGCACTTCGCTGACCGCATGTTATGCAGAGGACGCGGGCGGCGCGGCCAGGATGCACGCCGCCGCTTCTGCATTCAGTGCGGATTGTCACCCAGGGGGGAATGGGGGGAGGCAAGGTATGGCCGTGGGGCGGAGATCTGGATCCAGGGTGTTCTTTACGTAGTGTGTAAAGACTGCAGGCGCTTCGCGCAAGGGAGACCGGGGCTGGATACCCCGAGATGCTGGTGGTGCTGGGAGAAAGGATTCTGTAGACCGCGACCATGTGGTTAGGTGTTTGTGAGTTTATCGGCGATTTGAGATGATGATATGATACCCAGATTGTGCATTGATCTAGTCAGTCTAAAATGAACTAATTTGCCAGAGACGCTGTGTGTTCATCCAAAACGAGCCTGGGCTGGGGCGGGCTTGTTGCCCAGGACCTCATCTATCTCGGCCAGCACTTCTGAGGTGAGCAGTGGTAGCACCTTGAGACTCTCGACGTTGTCCACGATTTGCTCGGGGCGGGAAGCTCCGGTGATGATAGAGCTGACGTTTTCGTTCTTGATGCACCACGCAAGGGCGAGGTGGGATTGTTTGACACCGAGCTTATCGGCCACGCCCTGTGCTCATTAGACTATGTAACAAGCTATGGAGAGGGTCCATACCTTGATGGCGCCAAGCTGTCGAATGACCTTGGCAGATTCCTCCCCCTGCCATGTATCCCGCACGCCAACCGAGTACTTATCCTTGCTCTCCGCGAACCGCGAGCCAGGAGGAGGCTTCTCCAACGCATCGTTATACTTGCCGCTCAACCGACCTCCCTTCAACGGCGAGAATGTCGTCAAACCAAGACCAACCCGCGAGTAAAGTCGCTGGAACTGTCCCTCGACCTTCTCCCGATCAAGCATGTTGTACAGCGGCTGCTCAACAATCGGCGCAATCAAGCCCAGTGACTTTGCGATGCCAGCCGCCTCGCTAATCTCGTCCGCAGACCACTCCGACGTTCCCCAGTAGAACGCCCAGCCCTTCTCAATGACAAAGTTGAACGCCCGCACAACCTCCTCCATCGGTGTCAGACGATCCGGTCGGTGGGCGTAGATGATGTCAACGTATTCGAGCTGTAGGCGCTCCAGCGACGCTCGCGTACCCTCGACAATGTGCTTGCGCGAGAGTCCGACATTATTCACTCCGACCTCTCCGTGCGCGCGGCCAAAATTCAGCTATACAGTTAAGGTAAAGTTAGTTCGGAAGCGTAGGAGCGGGGGATGCCATTTACCTTGGTGCTAATAACGAGGTCGTTCCTCTTCCACCCTGTCTTCTTCAGGACCTTGCCCATGACAACCTCGGATTGTCCATTCGCGTACCCCTCCGCGCTGTCGAAGAAGTTAATCCCGAGATCATACGCCTGTCGCATGCACGCCTCGGTGCCCTCTGGATAATTGACTAATTAATATCCTCGCCAGAATATCACTTTCATAACGAACCTTCTGCGACATCACCACCGAACCTAACCAACAGTTAGCCAGCTCCAGACGCGTAAAGGGGAAATCTAAGGTAGACTCACGTAATCCATCCTCCCAAGCTGATGACGGAAACATGCAGGCCGGAATTACCCAGCCTGCGATAGATCATGTCAGAGTTCGGCATCGTGTCTCGAGAATGAGAATTTGTGAGGAAGGGAAGTTGGTGTTGCTCCTTTGTTGTCGGGTTACATCAAGTGAGGGGCAGCCCGCTCGCCTTTTATTTCCCCGCGATTCTGTCATTTTGGAGAGCAATGCACCATCATTTCCAGGCTCCAGTGGGTTACGCAACAAGGTTCCCACTGTCGGATAATTGTATAGCAGTGTCCAATCATCTGTACTGGAAGAGTAATCGAGTAAGCGTGTCGCCTGCATGTCAGGATAAATATGCGGGGTCCCAAACGGGCACGGCGCAGGTCCGGGCCCCTCAATGCTGCAGGGCGCAGATAATAGAGCAGTAGCAGGAATAATTCGAACTTGACTCCAGCTACACTTAGGCTATATAAGAGGTCCAGGGAACGCTACTTTGTTGATCTATTCGTGCTTAGATAAGGTGTAGGAACTAGTGCCCGGGAAATATATCTAATTGACTGCATTTGGCACAAAGGACGTGGTTGGGATATTATAAAAATGTTAGATAGAATTTGTGCAAACTAGAGACTGGTCTGAAAGTATCATCACTGCTAGCGACGTGTCTTTGAAAGCATATTGCCAATAGCCACAGCAACGCTTATAGAAACCGTTAGTTGATATGTCTGAAGCCAGGATAAGAAGTGCTCTTTGAACGCTGGAGGGATGGGCTGTGTCAGAACCCAGAGACGGTGAAATAGAGGATGAAGCGTTGGCATCTGCCGTT